TTCACTGTGACGCAAAGAGTTGGACATGACTTAGCAGCTGAACAGCAACAAACAATGGTCCTTAGATTTTTGTTTGTTTTGTCTCTCAGGCTTACTTTAATGGTTATGATTCACTCTGTTAATTTCTCTTTTTTTTTTTCATTTAATTTTGTTTTAAATCTTTTTTTCACTGCACTGCTCAGCATGTGGGGTTATATAATTGTTCCCTGACCAGGGATCAAACCCATACCCCCGGTGTTGGCAAGGCTGAGTCTTAACCACTGGACCATCAATATTTTGACAGATCAATGTTCTACTAAAAGTAGAACTTTAGCAGTTTACATTCGAGTTTCTCATATACAGGATACAGTTCTAACACTTAAGTTAGATGAGAAAGGGGAAAAAATGCATTTAAAAGCCAATGAGTCTCAGAACGGATTGTCCAGGAAGGGGGATGGAGTATGCATCCCCCATGTCTCTGTTGGAACTCGGCTTTATCACCTATCCTCAGCACCCGCCGCTCCTTCCCTGGCTTCTCCCCGCCCAAAAACCGAGGCCTGTTTGACTTCCATCCACATCATCTCCTGATGTCTTGCCTCTTGGCTACACTGGGAGCTGCTGAGAGATCATTGGTGGTATCTTTTTCTCCCTCCTGAAGCCCCGGAGGACCTAGGGCCCTGGGGACAGGGCATGGTAACTGGCACCTGTTGCCCATCTTGATGGACCAGGCGGCAGCCGTGTTCTGTGGGCTCCAGAGGCAGGGACTTGCCGTAACCTTCCTGATCCCGGAGCAGAGGTGACAGTGATGTTGAGACAACATGTGCAGAGGCTACTAGGAACCGCAGGCCAGTGGGGTAGGGCGTGTGCCACGCGGCCTCGACTTTACCTGCGGAAACGTCCAAAGGGCAGTGTCCCTTATCTGCTCAGGCTGGAAGCAGCCAGGGCCAGTGTGTCCAGTGATGTGTGGCGGCCGGTCCTCTGGCCAGAGGTCATGGTGTTGCCTCACTTCCAGGGATCTCATTTCAGTTCAGTTCAGTCACTCAGTTGTGTCCGACTCTTTGCGACCCCATGGACAGCAGCACACCAGGCCTCCCAGTCCATCACCAACTCCTGGAACTTGCTCAAACTCATGTCCGTCGAGTCGGTGATGCCATCCAACCATCTCATCCTCGGTCGCCCCCTTCTCCTCCTGCCTTCAGTCTTTTCCAGCATCAGGGTCTTTTCAAATGAGTCAGTTCTTCATGCCAGGTGTCCAAAGTATTGAAGTTTCAGCTTCAGCATCAGTCCTTTGAATGAACACCCAGGACTTATCTCCTTTAGGATGGACTGGTTGGATCTCCTTGCAGTCCAAGGGACTCTCCAGAGTCTTCTGCAACACCACAGTTCAAAAGCATCAATTCTTCGCTCAGCTTTCCTTATAGTCCAACTCTCACATCCTTTAGCTCTTCATTAACAGAAACACTGACGTTTCTCTCCATAAATCTCAGGTACCCTTGGAAAGCAACTGAAAGGTAAAACGAAAGGATGGCAGAGCATTCCAACTCCCTGTTGGAATGCCAGGGAGACTGACATTGTTTGTAGTCGGAGTTGAGTTCCTCCGGATCTGGGTGCTCCTGGTTGAGAGAGAGGATGTTTGCAGGAACACAAGGCTGCTTCCGCGTGTGTTTTCCTTGCAGCGCTGAGAGTGTGACGGCGCAGAGGAGGAGGTGAGAGTGTGACGGCGCAGAGGAGGAGGTGAGAGTGTGACGGCGCAGAGGAGGAGGTGAGAGTGTGACGGCGCAGAGGAGGAGGTGGCCGCGGCCCCCTTGATAGCATGGCCTGTGCCTGACTGTTGTGTGTTTTGAGGTTGAACCTTGTGGTGGACGTAGTAAGTTAATGACTGCACTTGGGAACCTTTTGTTCATGGTGGAAAATATCTTTTTTTTTTCCCATTACTTTAGATGTGGACCATTTTTAAAGTCTTTATTGAATTTATAATATTGCTTCTCTTTTATGTTTTGGTTTTTTGGCCACAAAACACGTGGGATTTTAGCTCCCCAACCAGGGATGGAATCTGCACCCCCCGTATTGGAGGGTGAAGTCGTAATCACTGGACCACCAGGGACCTCCCAGACAATATCTTAAGGAATCCCTTTATCTCACTTGCCATTTGAAGAAATTCAATTATGATGCAATATAAAATATAATAAAAAAGTGCAGATTCACAGTCTGATTTACCCTAAAAGATGACAACATCTTCTTAATCTTATGGAAGTTTAATGATTGCCTTTTCTTTTTTGTTGTGGCATTATCATTGGCTATGATCACTCACTGTCAGAATCCTGGCATGAGATGTGAATCTCACAAAAGCATGTGGACTGGACCCATTTTTCATTTCTAAAGGAAGCAAACCATCCCTTCATCTTTGCATTTGAAGCTGCTATTGACTTGCAGCGGGGCTGAGATGTGAAATGCTTTGACACAAGTACATTCTACGGGTCTGCTATTGACTTGCAGCGGGGCTGAGATGTGAAATGCTTTGACACAAGTACATTCTACGGGTCTGCTTTTGGCAGGGTCCTCTCCCTTGGTCCCAAGAGCCCAGCCTTCCGTGGTCGTGGTGGCTCAGAGGGTAAAGCATCTGCCTGAAATACAGGAGACCTGGGTTCGATCCCTGGGTTGGGAAGATCCCCTGGAGAAGGAAATGGCAACCCTCTCCAGTGTTCTTGCCTGGGAAATCCCATGGACAGAGGACCCTGGTAAGCTACAGTCTGTGGGGTCACAAAGAGTTGGATACGACTGAGCAACTTCCCTTTCTTTCGTTTCTTTTCTTCCTTGGTCCCAAGAGCCCAGCCTTCCGAGGTCGTGGAGGGACCACAGCCCCTTGCCCCGCTGAGCCCCGGCCAGGACTGGCGGCACGCACCCCTCTTGACGTGTGCGTGGGCTTCCCTGAGGCCATTTCAGAAGCCGAATGTCGCCTCGTCGGCCTCGTTGGCGAGGAGGGACTGGGCCGGGCTGGGGGGTGAACTTGGAGGGGCCTCGGGAAGGCGGGGAGCGGAGCGCGGTTCAGGCAGGGGGCCGGGACTGGCACTGGGGGGTCTAGACGGGGCGACGACCCGTGCTGCTGGTCTCGGGGCGGGGGGGGGGGCGGGTGACCAGGGCGAGACGGGGAGGGTGTGTCACCAGGGCCCCCGCTGTGCAGGAGGCCGGGCCCTGGTCTGAAGGTCGCAGAAGTGGTTTCGAGGTTTGGCAGCAGCGTGAGGCCAGCCTGCACAGAGGGGCCTGTGCTTTGACTTTGCACCCCCGGGGCGGGCCACGGGCCGCGGCCCCCGACAGTGTTTGCTTTTCACTGTCTGGGAGGCCCGCAGTCCAAGGCCGAAGTGTGGGCGGCTTTGGTTCCTCTCAAGGACCCTCTGCTCGGGTCACAGGGCCGCCGTCCGCTGTGTCCCCACGGGCTGCCCCCCCACCCCCTTGTACACCCCCATGTCTCTTTCCACCAGCCAGATTGGATTAGGGCCCCCACTGAAGACCTCATCTTAATGTAATCACCCCTTTCTCATGTCCAAACGCAACCCCACTCTAGGGCCCTAGGGCTCCCCAGGTGGCTCAGTGGTAGAGAACCCGCCTACCAGTGCAGGAGCCACAGGAGACGCGGGTTCGATCCCTGGGCCGGGAAGATCCCTGGAGGAGAGCGTGACTACCCACTCCAGTATTCTTGCCTGGAGAGTCCCATGGACAGAGGAGCCAGTTGGGCTACAATCCACTGGGTCGCAAAGAGTCAGACACGACTGAGCAGGCACGCACAGGCGTCAGGACTCCCACACCAGAATCTGGGGGGCACGCTGCAGCCTGAAAGTGCCCACATAGAGAGCGTTCTTCTGTGTGTGAGTTGAAACAGCCTAGCACTCTCGGGGACTGACCTGTTTCGATTTTTGTAACACTAGATGTGTTTGTCACCGCGTAGTCACTTTAGGAACACCTACCCGCATGACGCATCCCACGTGCACAGAGAACATATAATATTGTGCCCAGCGTGCCTGCCAGCCGCCTGCCCCTCCCACTCCCCCCGGGACCCCAGCCAAGCCACAATGATCCACTTGTGCCTGCAAGTACCCCCGCAGGCATCCATCCTGGGAGGCTTCACACTTGCCACTCCTTTCGCTGGAACATTCTCCCCAAGGCGTCTGCACAGCTCTCTCCCTTGTTCCTGCATGGGTCTGCGCCCTTTTAAGTGAAGCCCTCCCTGGCAGCCGTGCCCTCCCCATCCTCCTCCCACATCCTTGCATGCCCACCCGACAGTCCAGACGTGTCCCCACCAGAAGGGCTGCCCTGGGGCAGTGGGAACTAAGCTTGTGTCCGTCTTCCTGCTATTTCCGTCTTCCTCTGATACACAGAGGGTGCGCAGCAACGCAGAGGGATTCCTGGCCAGGTCAGCTCTAGTTCGAGACGAGCTCTTGTTCAGAGATTTTCATTTTGGGGGCAGTTCCCTGGTGGTGCGCTGGTGGCTCAGATGGTAGAGCGTCTGCCTGCAATGCGGGAGACCCGGGTTCGATCCCTGGGTTGGGAAGATCCCCTGGAGAAGGAAATGGCAACCCACTCCAGTACTCTTGCCTGGAGAATCCCATGGATGGAGGAACCTGGTAGGCTACAGTCCATGGGATTGCAAATAGTCGGACACGACTGAGCGACCTTGCTTTTCCCTGGTGGTGCAGTGGTTAGGATTCGGTTCTGTCACTGCCAAGGACCTGGGCTCAGCCCCTGATCAGGGAACTGAGATCCTGCAAGCCGCTTGACCAAAATAAAATAATAATAATAATAAAATTGTTCCTTTTCTTACTGAGCTTATCAAGAGTCACGCGGAGGAAGGATGGCCGACAATGTTGCTCTTTCGATTGTGAGTTCAGGTCTGTCTCCACTGGCCGGTGATGCTTCCACTCAAGGAAAGCCAGGGGTCCTCCGGGCCTTCACTGTTTTCACCGATGGCTTCTCTCTCCTCCTAGGAGATCGGAGCTAGGCAGTGGGACCAGCTCCTCCCGATGGAGATGGTGGACACAGAGAGCCCCATCGGTCCCCTCTCCCCACTAGAGGCTGATGATCTGGAAAGCCCGCTCTCGGCAGACTTCCTACAAGAGATGGGAACCATTCAAGAGATTTCTCAGTCTATCGGGGAGGACAGTTCCGGAAGCTTCAGTTTTACAGAATACCAGTACTTAGGAAGTGGTCCAGGATCAGATGGCTCTGTTATTACAGGTAAGCGTACCACTTCCTGGAAAGCTTTACTCAGAAATGTTTTTTCCGCAGAGAACAGTGTTCTCTTCACCTGGAGGAGAAGTCACGTCTTTCTGCCTTGAAATCTTCAGCCACGAGAGCGTGGCATGCAGCGCCACTGGGCTTTCGCGGCATCTCACGGTGTGTCCTCTTTATAAAAGCTGGACATAAGGCACATAATGCTTGAAATTCAGCTGGCAACTGCTTTTTTTTTAATGCTGTGAGTTTATGTTTCTTTAAAGCAGAGATGCCTATTGTAATAAAAATCACTCCCTTGTCTGGAAATGGATATGAACCTTCTCCTTACTCTTTTGTAAACTTTCATGTTTAGGATGGAAAAACAACAAATCCTACTGCAGAGCGTGGATGAAACTGTATTAAATTTGTCATTGTTGTTGTTCAGTCATTCAGTTGTGTCCGACTCTTGGCAACCCCATGGACTGCACTACGCCTGGCTCCTCTGTCCTCCACTCTCTCCCAGAGTTTGCTCAAATCCACATCCATTGAGTTGATGATGTCATCTAACTATCTCATTCTCTGCCACCCTCTTCTCCTTTCACTTTCAGTCTTGCCCAGCATCAGGGTCTTTTCCATATGGTAAACTGTAATGGAAAGGAATATTTTAAAAAAGAACATATGTATGTATATGTGTACAACTGGATCATTTTGCTGAACAGTGGAAATTAACACAAGGTGGCATATCAACTGTGCTTCAGTAAAAAAAATATTAAAACTGTAAAAAAAAGGGATTTTAAGACGGTTATGGTAGAAAAAAAACAAAGAACTACATCAGGCATCAGGCAAGGCAGAGACAAAGCAGTAAAAGGTGGGGTCTAGTCTGGTAACCTCGCTGGGAAAGAGGGGGTCACGGCATAGTCCATCTCTCTGGGCAACATGTAAGCCACCCCGGGGACTTCTCTGGCGGCCCAGTGGCTAGGACTCCACGCCTCCACTGCAGGGAACATGGGTTCAGTCCCTGGTTGCAGGGTTAAGATTCTTCAAGCTTTGCAGCATGGTCCCTCCCAACAAAAGCCGGGCTGGGATAATGTGGTGTCAGCTGCACCCCTGATTTAAAGGAGGCTCCTTTGGGGAGGACTTGACCCCACGGTCCTTCTTGGCAAGAGTGGGTGGTGAGTTGGGACTGGAGGAGTCAGGATTGAACCGGCCAGGAGGTGTGTTTGCAGTTTACCCCTCTGAGCGTGGATGAGCCTGGCTCTCTTGGGAGAACCGAGAAGTTTCTCCCGGCAGCGTCTGGTGGGAGTTCTCTGTGTCCCCCCACCCCCACGACTCCCCTTGTGTCCAGGGCTCGCTCCCCCACCGTCTTCTCCCGTGTCCCCACCCCGGGAAGATGTTCCCGAGACCGCGCGCTGACCTTTGGTGGTGGTGGGAGAGGGAGGCTGGCGGTGCTGGCAGCCGTGATCACGGATAAACCTGTCACGGAGAGTGCGGTTGAGAGTGCGCGACCCAGCGAGCCTGCTTCAGCTCGCGCACAGGGGTCCGCGCTGCGGTGGCCTTGTGACGGGGTGTGCACCGTGGCAGAAAGGAAGAGAGGGGAGCTCACAGAAAGTGACCAGACACACATCCTTGACTCTCGGCCGCTGGCCGCTAAGGTGGTGGGTGTGTGGCCATCCATTTTTACTTCGCTCCAGTTTTCCTTGTCATGGTTAATTAACCCTTTTGATCATTTAGAATCATCTCATAATCCATAAAATCTGTGTCTCCTTGCTAGATTTTTCAGTGCTATTGTTACCACTTCATTTGAGAGATAAAATGATTTCTTATTTGTAAATTCGGTTTTTCATCCTTGTCTCTAATGGTGATATTTCTAAGTTATGTAAACTGCAGATACAGGAGGGCCCTCTATAAAATGTGTTCACAGTAAACTGTATACCTAGGAGATTGGACGGGTGAGACTGCTCTGCCAGTCTGTATTTCCCGCCCTACCCACAATGTTTCTTAGCCAGCTTTATTGACGTAAAAACTTCACATATTCAAACAGTGCAATCAGATGCACACTCACGGAGACTTGTGAAGCCATCAGCACAATCAAACGGCAGCCCTGTCACCCCAAAGTTCACTTGTGCCCCCCATACCTCCCTCCCTCCCTCCCTCCCAAAGTAACCACAGGTCTGCTTTCTATCATCAGCCAGTTTGTATTTCCTAGAATTTTATATAAATGGAATCATACAGCCTGTTCTCTTTTTAGTCTAACTCCTTTCACTCAGCCAAATTATCTTTAGATTCACCTGCATTGACAGCATGTATCAACAGCTCATCTTTTAAAATTCCCTGTCTGGATTTACTGAGGTTTGTTGGTCCACGTTGTTGATAAACGTCTGGTTGTCTCCGGGTCTTGGCTGTTACAGATACAGCTGCTGGGAAGGTTCACGTCCACACCTCTGTGTGAACAGTGCTTCCACTTCTCTTGGGTAAATAGGAGTGGAATGGATCACGTTCTTCTGCTTCTTTGCATGTTTTTTTTACAGTTTATTTTTAGATACCATATACTGTGGATTTTCTTGGTGATGGATATTTTGTATTTACATAAATATTCTTAAATCCTGTTCTGGGAGGCAGTTAAGTTTTAATGTGGAAAATGCTGATCCTTTCAGGTTCTGTGGTTAAGCTTTGTTAAATGGGACCAGAGCAGTGCTGATCTAGAGGTAATTTGCCCCAGTTCTGAGGCAAAACCCTTTCGAGTGTTTTACCCAGGGTCCTAACAATTCTGAGATACTCCGTACTGTTCCCTCCAAGCATTTGAGGCTGCTCTTGGAGTATCTTTTCTTTACCTTCCTTTTTTTTTTGGCCACAACCCACAGCTTGAGAAATCTTAGTTTTCCCAACCAAAGATTGAACCTGAGCACTTGGCAGTAAAAGCCTGGGATCCTAACCACTGAACCACCAGGAAATGCCCTGGAGTATCTTTCCTCTTAGGCTCTCTCAGCTGATGGAGCAGACATATACGTGTACATACAAACCCATATATGTACACGTGTCTGTATTTCTAGATACAGCTGTCCGTTTCTATGCTAAGGCAATATGAGTTCAAGCAAATGTCTGCACCTCTGATCCACCGCCTCATGGGCCACTCTGGCCTCTGTTTCTTATCCGTGAGCTCACACTCCAGCAGTACCCACCATCCATCCAACCAACCATCCATCCATCCATCCACCATCCAACCAACCATCCATCCAACCAGCCATCCATCCATCCATCCACCATCCAACTATCCACCCATCATCCATCCATCCATCTACTATCTGTCCATCTACCATCCACCCATCATCCATTCATCCACCATCCATCCACCATCATTAAGTGAACATTTAGTTTTTCATTTCCAGTGGAGTGCCTTCTACTTCTGCTTCACTGACGACGCCAAAGCCTTTGACTGTGTGAATCACAACAAACTGTGGAAAATTCTTCAAGAGATGGGAATATCAGACCACCTTACCTTCCTCCTGAGAAACCTGCATGCAGATCAAGACGCAACAGTTAGAACTGGACATGGAACAACAGATTGGTTCCAGATTGGTAAAGGAGTACGTCAAGTCTGCTGTATATTGTCACCCTGCTTATTTAACTTATATGCAGAGTACATCATGCGAAATGTGGGCTGGATGAAGCACAAGCTGGAATCAAGGTGGCTGGGAGAAATATCAATAATCTCAGATACGCAGATGATACCACCCTTACGGCAGAAAGCAAAGAGGAACTAAAGAGCCTCTTGATGAAGGTGAAAGAGGAGAGTGAAAAAGCTGACTTAAAACTCAACGTTCAAAAAACTAAGACCATAACGTCTGGTCCCATTGTTTCATGGCAAATAGATGGGGAAACAGTGGAAACAGTGACAGACTATTTTCTTGGGCTCCAAAATCACTGCAGATGGTGACTGCAGCCATGAAATTGAAACATGCTTGCTTCTTGGAAGAAAAGCTCTGACAAAATTAGATAGCGTATTAAAAAGCAGAGACATTGCTTTGCCTACGTCAAAGTTATGTTTTTTTCCAATTGTCACGTACGGATGTGAGAGCTGGACAATAAAAAAGGCTGAGCACTGAAGAATCAATGCCTTCGAACTGTGTCTTGGAGAAGACTCTTGAGAGTCCCTTGGACTTCAAGGAGATCCAACCAGTCCGTCCTAAAGGAAATCAGTCCTGCATATTCACTGGAAGGACTGATGCTGAAGCTGAAGCTCCAATACTTTGGCCACCTGATGCGAAGAACTGACTCATTGGAAAAGACCCTGATGCTGGGAAAGATTGAAGACGGGAGGAGAGGGGATGACAGAGGATGAGATGGTTGGATGGCATCACCGACTCGATGGACATGAGTTTGGGTAAACTCCAGGAGTTGGTGATGGACAGGGAGGCCTGGGGTGCTGCAGTCCGTGGGGTCACAAAGAGTCGGGCACGACAGAATGGCGGAACAGCAAGTGCAGTGACATCAGAGTTGCTCACCCAGAGCCCTGTCGGAAACATCCCTATCAGTGAGGGCAGTGACCAGGTGCAGTTTCCCTTTCCTCTGGACTCACGGACTCCATGCATTTCCAAGGTCATGCAGGCGAACATCTTCAACTAGGTTTCCTACAAATGTTCCCCACGTTTGTGATATAGTTAGGTTGTATAATTGCATTCTCTGTGCCATTCTGGGGCCCCTGGACCTCCTCAATTATTTTTGTTTATTTGCACACCTTGAAGTTCACTCTAAACTGTCAAACTCTGTGGATTTTGACAAATAAATTATGTTCTGTATTCACCATTACTATTTCATATGAATAGTTTCACCACCTCGAAAAAGCCACTGTGCTTCACCTACTCAGCCCTGCCTCCCCCATCCCCACTCCAGCCGCTGATCTTTTTACCACCTATAGCTCTGCCTTTCTCCAAATGTCAGATATTAAGAACCACATATGTAGCCTTTTGGAACTGACTTCACCTATTGAGGGGCCTCTTGGCCTCTTAATTTTTGGCAATTAAATGTAAAGCTGCTAAAGCACTGTCCGCAATAGCCAAGGCATGGAAACCTCCTAAACGTCCATCGACAGAGGAATGGATAAGGAAGATGTGGTACATATGTACGTACAATGGAGTATTACTTAGCCATTTTAAAAAACGAAGTAATTTTTTCATTTTTCTCAGCCATTTGGAGCAACATGGATGCAACTGGAGATTATCATACTAAGTAAGTCATGAAGAGAGAGACCAATATCATATGACATCACCTATGTGTGGAATCTAAAACATGACAAGAAATGAGCATATTTACAAAACAGAGACACACAGACGTAGAGAGCAGACTTGTGGTTACCATGGGGGAGGAGGGGGATGGAGGGGAGGACTGGGAGTTGGAATTAGCAGATGCAACTAGTGAATACGGGTGGATAAATGACGAGGTCCTACTGTGTAGCGCAGGAACCACGTTCAATATCCTGTGACGAACCATAATGAAACAATCATGTGTGTATAACTGAGTCACTTTTCTGTACGGCAGTTATTAAACACAACATTATAAATCAACTACACTTCAGTAAAATGTTTTAAAAAGAATAAAGCTGCTGAAAACATTCACACGTAGGGTTTTGTGTGGACACACGTTTTCAAATAACTTTTGTCAACATTATTATTGTCGTTAAGTTGCTAAGTCTGGTCCAACTCTTTGTGACCACATGGACTGCAGCACGCCAGGCCTCCCTGTCCATCACCAAGTCCCGGAGTTTACTCAAACTCGTGTCCATCAGGTCAGTGATGCCATCCAAGCATCTCATCCTCTGTCGACCCCTTCTCTTGCCTTCCGTCTTTCCCAGCATCAGGATCTTTTTCCAGGAGTCAGTTCTTTGCATCAGGTAGCCAACGTATTGGAGTTTCAGCTTCAGCATCAGTCCTTCCAATGAATATTCAGGACTGATCTCCTTTAGGATGAACTGGCTGGATCTCCTTGATGTCCAAGAGACTCTCAAGGGTCTCCTCCAGCACCGTGTGTCAATATCTAGCAGTGTGATTCTTTAAGACTGTTTTGCTTCATAAGAAACTGCCAAGCTGTCTTTCACAGCGGCTGCACCATTCTGCTTCCCTAGAATGAGAGCATCTTTTCCTCCACCTCCTCACTATCGTTTGATGGTGTCAGATTTTTGGATTTTAGCCATTCTAATAGCTGCACAGTGATGTCTCCTTCTAATTCACAGTTTCCCGGTGACCACTGATGGGAAGCATGTTTTCATGTTCTTGCTTGCTATCTCTGTGTCTTCTTCAGCCAGATATCTATTCAGATCCTTTGCCTGTTTTTAATTGAGTTTTTTAGTTTCATTACTGTCAAGTTGTAAGACTCGTTCATGTATTTTGGATGCAAGTCTATTACTGGGTGTGTGTTTTGCAAATAGCGTCTCCCAGTCTGTGCCTTGTCTTTTCATTTTCTTAACAGTGTCTTCTGCAGAGCAGGAGTTTTTAATTTTAAGAAAGCCCAACTTCTTTTTTTCTTGGGTTGTGCTTCTGGGTTGCCCACATGGATTTTTATTGTCTTCCTGGTGCAATTTACTGAGTTAACAAGTATGAAAGGGCTGGAAGGGAGGATGCAAAAAAAAGCAAGTCTGTGTGGGATACTTCAATTTCTGGCAATGAAGAATAAAGCTGTTGTGAGCATTCGTGTGTATAGGCTGCTCGGGAAGTGGCCTTTTCTATAGGGCCAAGATTTGGTCCATTTTGTTTTAATTTTTATGGAGTGAAGAGTATAGTTTTTTTTTTTTTTTTTTTTAGCTGGGGAGTCCCTGGCTGGGGGAGCTTCCAGATGTCCCCGCCCTGGTCTCTGTGGAAGGGCTGGGCCAGGACTGACACAGGAAGGGAGCCCTACCCACCCGCTGAAGCCTCCCCAGCGAAAGCCTGGGGCAGTGGGGTGGGGGGGTGGTTAGGCGGGGATCAGATCCTCAGAAAGCTGGCCTAGATGATGGATGGTGAGAGCGTGGAAGTTCATCAACCTCCCCCTTCTTTTCCTAGACACCCTGTCCCCAGCCTCGAGCCCCTCGTCCGTCTCCTACCCCACAGTCCCTGGCAGCACTGAGGAGTCAACCAGTATCGCCCTGAACATCGAGTGTAGGATCTGTGGGGACAAAGCCTCTGGCTACCACTACGGCGTCCACGCGTGTGAGGGCTGCAAGGTACGGGGACCCTGGATGTGGAGAAAAGTGGCCTTTCAGGGACCGCCTGTGCTTCCCTTTATTTTATACACAAATGTGTGTTGTTAGTGAGAAAGATCTGCTAAAGGGCGTCCCTGGTGGCTCGGTGGTAAAGAGTCCGCCTGCGATGCAGGAGCCGCAGGAGATGCGGGCTCAGTCCCTGGGTGAGGAAGGTCCCCGGAGAAGGAAATGGCAACCCGCTCCAGTATTCTTGCCTGGAAAATGCCACGGACAAGAAGAGCCTGGCGGGCTACAGAGTCAGACACGACGGAAGGGGCTCCGTACAAGCACGTGAAAGCTGTCGATCAGAAACTGACCCCAGGAGCAGGCTCATTTCGCGCTGTGGAGAGCCTGTGGCGTATTGCTGGGCTGCTCCTTACACGTGATGAGGCAAGTGCGCTGTTTGAAAGAGAATGAGCCACGGTGAGGCTGCTGCCCTCACGGGGACGCGAGGTCAGAGAGTTTCGGCGCACATTCTCTCTCCATCGTCCCCAGAAGGCCGCAGAGGGCGGTGGTCCTCCTGAGCATTCGGCCACGTCGGGACCCCGCAGCGCATGCCAGCCCACGGCCAGACCCTGGGCCAAGCCCTCCGCAGCCACTGCGGCACGCCCTGCAGTGTGCCCTTGGGGCCAGGGGCCTGTCCACCTGAACCGCAGGCCCCGCGGCGTGTGTCTTGCTCCTTGCAAAGTTGTCTTTCCACTGGGCCATGATTTAATCACCTTTGTTTACTTTGGGCTTTTTTAAAACAACTTTTTTAAAGTTGTTTCTCACTGGGTAAAGTTTAAGATGCTTTTATAAAGCAAGAAAGTTATTGACAACCAGCTGGCCTCCCTTTATTATATAATCTTTATCTTTTAGACAGTTTATGTTCTCCCACAAAAATGCTTAGAACATTTTCATCACCCATATGGACCTGTTCTCTGAGAAGAGAAAGTCACATCTGTAGAAATCTTAGCTGGGTGGAGTCACTCTTTGGGGGACTGTGTGTTTGCCTAGGTGAGGATGTATTGGTATTACTTTGAATTTTGCCTCATTTTCTTACTTTTCCTTTTCCAGGTAATGAAATTTCAAATTTTCAACTTGCCTCAATTATATCAGACTTTAAAAAAAAAATTAAGAACTTTATTTATTTATTTGCCCATGCTGTGCTGCACGTGGGATCTCGTCCCCCAACCAGGGATCAAACCTGTGCCCCCTGCACTGGGAGCGCAGAGTCTTAACCACGGGGCCACCAGGGAAGTCCCTACATCGGACTTTTCAGACGAACCATTTCTCTACATTTAGTTCATCTTAAAAGAGACAATAAATGAACAACAAGAAGCGTAAATAAAGGAATGACATTGATTCGTCAGTGGTCCTACTCTTTAACAAACTGTATGTTAATCTGCAGGGTTTCTTTAGGCGAACGATTCGGCTGAAGCTGGTGTATGACAAATGTGACCGTAGTTGCAAGATTCAGAAGAAGAATCGGAATAAGTGCCAATACTGTCGTTTCCACAAGTGCCTTTCGGTTGGGATGTCCCATAATGGTAGGTAAGGTTGTCTCTCAAACTTCACCCGCCCATGCCTCTGTCTGCCTCTCTCAGGGGCTCGGAATGTGCTGTACTTTGATGAATGTGCTGCAGCATTTAACACTCAGGTCATTTTGTAACACAAGAGCCTAAGAAAGTAAGTCTCAAAGAGCAGAGATCCAGTAGAGCTCTTGGAATTATGGTTAAAAACTTCAAATGGTGAAACTTGGATATAAGATTTTGCAACCAACTGGAAATCACAGAGATAATGTTCATATCTTATACATGAAGTGTGTGCCATTTCAAACATTTTACTATAAGTTTAATTACATTCAATCATACTCTTATTTTAATATCTTTTTTTTGGCCATGTGGTATGTGGGATCCTTTCCCAACCAGGGATCAAACCCATGCTCCCTGCATTGGAAGTGTGGAGTCCTAACCACTGGACCACCAGGGAAGGCCCCCTACTCTTATTTTAAAACATGCCAACTACTACGTGAAAGTAAGTTTAAAATGATGTTCGCAAGAGTTGCATGTCTACCTTCTGAAGGAGAAAAAGGTAACAGTTAACTCCTTCTAAGCTCACTTTCATCTCCTTGATTGGAAGGGTCAATTATATACTTAATGACATGAGGTGACCTTGAGCCGGTCCTATTGATGAAGTGAGTAATGGTGCTAATTTTTATTTTAACCTTTTGGTTTTAAAAGTCTGGGATATATGGAGTTTGAGTAGTACATTCACCTCTCCGAGGGAGAAAGCTGAGTCGTGGAAAAGTGCATTCTAATTTCCTGGTAGTGTTCGGCCACAGTTTAACCCGTGGTGTGAACTTTCCCTGCAGCTGTTAGTCGTCACTCCCCGTTATGTCCTTCATTTCTCTGTTTTCCATGATTCCATATCTCCCCTCCGACCCCCAGCGATTCGTTTTGGACGAATGCCAAGATCTGAAAAAGCAAAATTGAAAGCAGAAATCCTCACGTGTGAACATGACCTAGAAGATTCCGAAACTGCAGATCTCAAGTCTCTGGCCAAGAGGATCTATGAGGCCTACTTGAAGAACTTCAACATGAACAAGGTCAAGGCTCGGGTCATCCTCGCCGGGAAGACCAACAACAATCCGGTGGGTGGCTCTGCTCTGCTTTCTGCAGGCTGACAGGCTCCCTGGGCCACCCGTCAGCCCGCGTCATAGCAGAGGGTAGAGGAAGTATGCTCTGAATGTTGAGAAAATAACACTTATCCCCAAGGCAAGCAACAGACAGTGCAATGGAAACATTTTCGTTCAGGGACTATGAAACTCAGCCTGACAGCAATTCCTACCCATTTGATCCACCTCAAAGCTCCCAGCAACCAAGTTAGTATACTGACTGTGTAATTAATGTGCCCCAAAACTCTGTTTAATAGTTTACCAGATTCTAGAGCTGTATGAGTGATTTTTTTTTTTAATCTCAGAAGATGAAACCATTCCCTTCTGACTCAAAATGTGCCCTTGTATCCTTGCTCCTAAAAAAATACTCTCTCCTCTCCAGTGTTCCCCCTTCCTACCCACCCCTCATCTGCTTTTTCTCCAGGGAGAAGCAAATGACATCTCCAGGCTTAGAAGGGGCCCTCTTGTTTTCATTAACTTTATTTTTACTGTCTTTTGGACGGTTCTGGACCTTCTGGGAGCAACTAAGAATGTCCCTAGTGCACCTGGCCCCCACCCCACGGTGAGCCAAGCCTCTGTCTCCATTACAGGACTGATCTCAGAGTGGCCTTCAAAGCAGGGCATGGCCCGAGGTTGGCAAATCAAGACGTTCTGTCTCTTCCCTATGAGCATGGTGCAACAGGTTTAATCTGTACTAATGAGTAGCTCGAAGCCATCCCTGTTGGGAATTACAAGCTGGAACTTTTAGTCACAGGAAAGTAAAGCATTTCACAAGCTGCTTACTTTCATGAACACACCCAGCCTCTTTTTTACTGAGTCTTTTCATTCTTCGGTGATTTCTCCAATGAAATAGGCTGAGGTACTTTAGAAGGGTTTGAGCAAACTCTTGTTAAATTAGTAAAGCTGCACCCACGCTGGGCCAGCACAGACTCAGTCCTTTCCACATCACAGGGGTGAAAGCAAAGTAACCTTTCACCTTTGAATTTCTTTCCTGGAAATGACTGGTATAGCCCCAAGTTGTTGCTGTTGTTCAGTTGCTAAATCATGTCTGACTCTTCGCGACCCCATGGACTGCAGCACACCAGGCTTCCCTGTCCTTCACCACCTCCCAGAGTTTGCGCACTCATGTGCATTGAGTCGGTGATGCCACCCAACCATCTCAACCTCTGTCGTCCCCTTCTCCTCCCACCTTCAATCTTTCCCAGCATCAGGATCTTTTCCAGTGAGTCAGCTCTTCCTATCGGGTGGCCAGAGTATTTTAACTTCAGCCTCAGCATCAGTCCTTCGAATGAATAGTCAGGGTTGATTTCCTTTAGGATTGACTGGTTTGATCTTGTAGTCCAAATTTTTTATCTCTTTGAATCTTTTGAGATGTTGCTGAGATCTTCTACTTCTCCCTTGGGTTTTCAGAATGTAAAGCAAACTTAAAAGTCATCTTTACTCTGAGCCAAACACTTTTGTTTAATATTAACTTGATTTCCGTACAGTATCTTTCCCATACCTCACTGAGGTCCACGTACTCCAAGGAGGAGCCCGTCACCCAAGGCCAGAGTGGAAACCTGCACAGTTGAGGACTGTCACACGGTGACTTGGGGAGAGGAATCTGTGTTTTGGCCTTAAGGAAATAAATAATAGACAAGCAGTCTAGGACTGGGCTTCACTGGATAGGAAAAGTGGAGTTCAGGGTACCGCTAGGGGTCCGTCTCTAGCTTCTGCCCCCACCTCCAAACCACCGCATCACGGGTACCAGCTGGAAAGGGAGTGTCCAGGGGACAGTCACTGCCTTTGATGACCCTGTTTGCTCCTAGGTGGGCTCACTTCCCACCCCATGCCCTGCATACATGGAGATGTGGCCCTTCTCCTGTCTATCTGGCCTGCCAGAGCACGCCAGAGCTTGGAGCATCCAACTCGGGGCCACAGTCTCAGCTACTCCATCTGTGCTCAGACAGAGGCAGAGCTGCCCACGCACGGTGGGTCTTGGGCTGACACCCCCTCCCACCACGCCCTGGGGTCTGGCCTGCTGTGCTCTGTTGAAATATCATACCTATAACTTCAGTTGTCAGTAGGCTGAAAAACATACTGTTTTATACTATATCGAGAAATGCGTAGTAAAACCTCATCAAGAGCTTGTTAGATAACGTCATCCAAAGCAATTCTACCAAATAACTCACAATTAAATTTCTCCTAAAAGATGGCGCTGCCTAAGTTTTCACAGAAAATGCTCTTTGAATGTGTTTCGGAAATGAACTCTTATAGGGAACACCGTTAACACACATAGAACACTTCAGGTGTGAGAAAACAAAAATGCTATCAGTGAGGGGAGCCTTCTGGACTTGGCCTGGAATGACCTGGGGTGGGTGCTCCCCCACCCCAAGTGGGGCACTGGTGGTGAAGAAGCCACCTGCCCATGCAGGAGACCTAAAGAGGTGAGGTGTGGCCCCTGGGTCAGGGAGGTCTCCCGGAGGAGGACACGCCAACCCACTCCAGTGTTCTTGCCGGAAGAATTCCTTGAACAGAGGAGGCTGGGGGGCTACAGTCCATAGCATCGCAAAGAGGGTGACTAAAGGGACTTAGCATGCGTGCACGCACAATTCTGAGGGGAAAGTGGACAGCTTTCTGCCTTGTACTGTTTAAACTTTTTATGATGTGCTTCGTTGATTTGAAATGACCACCTGTAACATCAGATATATTCATATTCAAGCTTAGGTAGAAAAGGCTCACTCTGAAGTTAAATGAAAGCTTCCAGGACTTCTAAAATAGCCTAGTGGATAATATTTCTCCATAAAGTTTGGCAAACTTTCAAGGTCTTACTCTACAATTTCTCTTTGGCTGTAACAAACATGATTTTAAATGTTCACACTTGTTTTGAATCCAAGTGGTTTCTACTTTTGCCTGTTAATGAGGCCTGCCTTCTAAAACCCAACTGAAAATTTTATAAAAATGAAATACTCGCTATGACCGAAGTCTTCATTTATGAGAGAATGTATCACGTAAAACTAGTCCAGGGCCGGCATCCTGGGCATGTGTGCTGTCTCATACCGCCCCCCGCATAGCGGGCCCTGCGCTGGGGTTTCATGCTGTCACTGTCTTGAAAGTCTTAATCGCTTCTGAGTAAGTGACTGGCATGTTGCACTAGGCCCTGAAAATTATGTAGCCAGTCTGTGCTAGTCCTATGAAATGTCCTACCAATAATAATAATAATAATAAATAGGCATTCTGCAGTCAAACACTAGAAACCACTGCTTATGCTAACCCAGTTCTTTTTTTTAATAAATTTCTTTAGCAGGTGATTTCTTTTTTAAAAAATATTTATTTGGTTGCATCAGGTCTTAGTTGAGGCGTGAGATCTTTCGTTGTGGCGCACAGACTCTCTAGTTTGGGCTCAGCAGCATGCGATGTGGGATCTTAGTTTCCTGACCAGGGATTGAACTGGCATCCCCTGCATTACAAGGCCTTAACCATTGGACCACCAGGGAAGTCCCTAACTCCATTCTTAAAGATCGACGGTGTACACTCATTATGTTAAAGATGCTGGCAGACCATAACTTCGTTTAGCTCAGTATTTTTCCAGTGTTTTTTTTTTTTAACAGCAAAACTCATTTTTAAAAAATTCATGGAACATTTTTATTTCTGCTGAATGTGCTTTTAAAAACTCAGTGATCTGTATAAAGTCAAGGTGGCCTTATATTGTATTTTCTGCAGTTGAGGGAATGCTGCCATCTATTCTTTAAAAACATTTTTCTAGTCTACCTTAAATCCAAGCTCCAACTTCATAGAAACTGCCCCCAAACTTTCCCCCCAAAAGGTCAACCTGTCCTGCTTTTAAAGTCTTTGGAAAAAGATAGTTTTAGTCTTTCTCCATCAAACCTGAGATTGTTTGAAATTTGGCTTTAACTTTTGTATTCAGGATGTTTGCAGTCCTTCACAGATAATTTAAAAAATACTCCCTTGCCTCAGATGCGAAATCAGATCCTTTTTTCTGTTGTTGTTCAAGACTATCTTGCGAATTCTGACTCTGTTTAGACATTTCAAAGACAGTGCGTCAGATTATCCCAGCACCTCCACTTCTGTGCCAGGTACCCACAGGTGCCCTGCAGGTGGCTCATCCCGATGCTCGTGAGCCCAGAAAGGGCACACGTCATGCAGTGGGGCCCGGAGGCACTGTCAGTGACGTGATCTGCCCACTTGCAGAGTGCTTCTTAAAATCACTGGGCTGCCCGTCCACTCAGTGTTTGTCCAGCGGGGACTGAACATAATGCCTTAGCCCGAGTCATCACCGGCCTGTAGAAGAGTCAGAGTGCTCCCTCGGAGACTGCCGTTTCTTCTGCTCCGCATAAAGACCTGGCTGCATTTTGGCTGCAGTGTTTATCTGTGCCCGTTTTCCCAAGCCCCACCAGATACACCGTCTCTTCTGAGCACACTGGCTCCAAATCCATGGCCCACCATCTTATCTGTCCTCCACTGTGTTAGTCTCTCAGTCATGTCTGACTCTTTGCAACCCCATGGACTATAGCCTGTCAGCCTCCTCTGTCCATGGGATTCTCCAGGGAAGACTACTGGAGTGGGTTGCCATCCCTTTTCCAGGGGATCTTCCCGGCCCAGGGATCGAACCCAGGTGTCCCACATTCAAGGCAGATTCTTTCCCACCTGAGCTACCAGGGCAGCCCATTAGATCTGTATGAAATGATAGGACTGGTGAGTTTAGATGCACATGGTAAGGCCACGTTTTGGGAGCTGCCGCCAGCATTTGGAGACTGTGGAGACTGTCTCAGAATGTGGAGCAGCGGCGGGGAGATTTCAGTCTCCTGCGCCAGGAAAGGGGGTCTTGCAAGTCCTTCCGGTTTATCCCCAGAGAGCAAGGGGTTAACAGTGCGTGTTTGTCCACGTCTGCACAGACGCCAGCTTTCTGAGCTACATCTACTCACATGCGAAATGTGTTCATTCAATAGTCAGTGTTGGGTAAGTTATCTCTAATGTTCGTAAAATGGAAAAACTAAAAATTACTGGTATGAATAATTTTCCTGGAGGAGGGCATGGCAATCCACTCCAGTATTCTTGCCTGGAGAATCCCATGGACAAGAGGAGCCTGGCAGGGCTATGGTCCGTGGGGTCGCAAAGAGTCAGATACTACTGAAGCGACTTAGCACGCATGCGCGTATGAATAATTTACCAAGTGAAAGTGAAGTTGCTCAGTCGTGTTCAACTCTTTGCAACCCCATATGTAGCCCACCAGGCTCCTCCATCCATGGGATTTTACAGGCACGAATACTGGAGTGGGTTGCCATTTCCTTCTCCAGGGGATCTTCCTGACCCAGGGATCGAACCTGGGTTTCCTGCATTGCAAGCAGATTCTTTACTGTCTGAACCACCAGGAAATTCCAACTTACCAAAAGTTCATAGTTAAAATAGCACATATTCCCCAATGATCAGTGACTATGATCATTTCATTTGTTTTATCACTTTTCATCGATGTAAATATGACTTTGCCAAAATAAACCCTATAGGGTTTGTTTTTTAGAGTCTCTGGAATAAATGAGCCATTATTGTTTATAGCTCAAGGCTTGAAGCCCTTGTAGCTCAGGGCTTCCCTTTTAGCTCAGTCGGGAAAGAATCTGCCTCAATGCAGGAGACCCGGGTTTGATTCCTGGGTGGGAAGATCCCCTGGAGAAGGAAATGACTACCCACTCCAGTATTCTTGCCTGGAGAATCCCATGGACAGAGGAACCTGGCGGGCTACAGTCCATGGGGTCACAAGAGTCAGGCACAACTTAGCAACTAAACCACTAAACCACCACCACCATTGCTTATAGAAAAAAAGAATTATTGTAATGACTGGCTATTGCAGTAGTATTTGGGAATCCAGAGGAAATTATCAAACATTTAGAGTGGTTAGCTAATATTCTCTTTCTTGTGAGCTTTATTGCCAAAATCAGTACTTCCCTTTGTTGCTGTTGGCCGTGCTACAAGGCATGCGGGATCTTAGTTCCCTGACCAGGGACTGAACCCAGGCCCAAAGCAGTGGAATCACGGAATCCTAACGACTGGACTGCAAGGGAAGTCCTTCACTTCCTTAGCAATGAAATTCCCACCCAGTTTCAGGTGATGATGATGACTCTCTTTTTTGATGTGTGTTGTCCTCTATTAAAAGTCCTTTCGTCCCCAGCTGATTTTGAGGTTGTTACGGATGAGGACTGTGTTTTGCACAGACTTTGATTCTCAGGTGGCTGAAATACGGTGACTACTATCAGTTTCATGATAACTAAGCAGACAGCTTGTTGCCAATCATCCGACTGATTCCAGTGTCTTTATCTCCAGCCTTTCGTCATCCACGACATGGAGACGCTGTGCATGGCCGAGAAGACCCTGGTGGCCAAGCTGGTGGCCAACGGCATCCAGAACAAGGAGGCGGAAGTGCGCATCTTCCACTGCTGCCAGTGCACGTCCGTGGAGACCGTCACGGAGCTCACGGAGTTCGCCAAGTCCATCCCGGGGTTTGCGAGCTTGGACTTGAATGACCAGGTCACTCTGCTGAAGTATGGCGTTTACGAAGCCATATTTGCGATGCTGTCTTCTGTGATGAATAAAGACGGGATGTTGGTAGCCTATGGGAATGGCTTCATAACCCGTGAATTCCTTAAAAGCCTAAGAAAACCCTTCTGTGATATCATGGAGCCCAAGTTCGACTTTGCGATGAAGTTCAACGCACTGGAGCTGGACGACAGTGATATCGCCCTCTTTGTGGCTGCTATCATTTGCTGTGGAGGTAGGCTGCTGCTCTCCCACCGGGGCCAGGGTGCTCCCGGCCTCCTGTCTCCAGGGCCTGGCAGCACTAAGTCCGATGTGAGTGGGATGAAGCCGCCACTGGGGGCGGTGGGGGGTGGGGAGGGCGTCCAAACTCCCACAGGGACACTAACCAGGATTCAGTGAGAAGGAGATCCGTGTCGGATCATATTGTAGCGAAGGTAACTTTTCCTGTTTCAGAGCTTTCACTTTTTATTTTTAACCATTCTTACTTTATACTGGAGTATCGTTGGTTTACAGTGTTGTTAGTTTCAGGTGTACGGCGAAGTGATTCAGATGCACACACACGGGCGTCTCTTCTTTTCCAGATTATTTTCCCATTTAGGTTGCTACAGGATAAGGGTCCCCTCTGCCGCACAGTAGGTCTCTGCTGATTATTTCATGTGTGGCAGTGTGTCTGTGTCAATCCCAATTCATGTTGCTTTATATAAAACACATTATCTGCCTACCGAACAGGATATGTGGCTTCAGTCCCTGGGTCAGGAAGGTTCCACAGAGAAGGAAATGGCAACCCAGAGGAGCCTCCTGGGCTGCAGCTCATGGGGTCGGAGAAGAGTCAGGCACGGCTGAGTGAGTGAGTGACAGGACAGCAGCGCATTTGTGAAGTAGTAATGTGTCCCTTTTGGATCCACACAAATATATATTTTATTTGTAAGAGGATGTACTATATCAGGGCTTTCTTGGTGGCTCAGACAGTAAAGAATCTGCCTGCCTGTAATGCAGGAGACCTGGGTTCGATCCCTGGGTCAGGAAGATCCCCTGGAATGGCAAGGGATTGGCAAGGGAATCCAACCCCGAAGGGAATGGCAACCCACTCCAGTAATAAAATATATTAGGGGGCATTTTCCTGGTGGCTCAGCAGTAAAGAACCCATTTGTCAATGCAGGAGATGCAGGCTTGATCCCTGGGTCGGGAAGATCCCCTGGAGAAGGAAATGGCAACCCACTCCAGGATTCTTGCCTGGGAAATCCCATGGACAGAGGAGCCTGGCGAGCTACAGTCCATGGGGTCCCAAAGAGTCGGGCATGACTGAAGGATTAAATGACAACAAAATATATTAAGTATCATTAATAATTAAAATTTACTGATATCTATTATTATCATGGGCTTCCCTTGTGGCTCAGCTGGTAAAGAATCCACCTGCAATGCGGGACACCTAGGTTTTATCCCTGGGTTGAGAAGATCCCCTGGAGAAGGGAAAGGCTACCCACTCCAGGATTCTGGCCTGGAGAATTCCATGCACTGTATAGTCCATGGGGTCGCAAGGAGTCAGACACGACTAAGTGACTTTCACTTTCATTATTATCATACCCACTATTATATATCAGATATAATTATAGTAATATTACAATGTATATGTGTTATAATAACACCATCATATTCAGTCAGCCTCCATACTCGTTGGTTCTGCAACTGAAGAATCAACCGTGGATGGAAAACATACAGAAAAAAAAATTCCAGAAGGTTCCAAAAAACAGAACTTCAATTTGCCACACACTGGCAACTGTTCACATACTGTTTACACTGAGGCATTGCAGGTGGTCTAGAAGTGATGTAATATGTTTGAGAGGATGTGCACGGGTTATGGGCCATTTTATGTAAGGGGCTTGAGCTTTCATGGATTTAGGTGTTTCAGTTCAGTTCAGTTCAGTTGCTCAGTCATGTCTGACTCTTTGCAACCCCATGAACCGCAGCATGCCTAGGCCTCCCTGTCCATCACCAACTCCCAGAGTCTACCCAAACCCATGTCCATTGAGTCGGTGATGCTATCCAACCATCTCATCCTCTGTCGTCCCCTTCTCCTCCTGCCCTCAATCCTTCCCAGCATCAGGGTCTTTTCAAATGAGTCAGCTCTTCCCATCAGGTGGCCAAAGTATTGGAGTTTCAGTTTCAGCATCAGTCCTTCCAATGAACACTCAGGACTGATCTCCTTTAGGATGGACTGGTTGGATCTCCCAGCAGTCCAAGGGACTCTCAAGGGTCCTAGAACAATCCCCACAGATACCATGGGACGACCGTGTTATAACTGTTATTATATCTTGTGTCCATGTTGCAGACAGTATTCTATAAAGTGCCACACGGATGTTAGTCCAGTTGCTGTCTGTGTTGGTGTACTTATGCAATTTCATAATGAAAACATCAGTAGTCAGCTAACAGGTATGACTGCACAGTATGCTTTGCCAGAGGAAATGGATTCCAGTGAAGGAAAACCTGGGACTCTGTGCAGGGAGCTAGCTCTGCAGAGTTTTGGCTCAGCCTCCCATTCCTTTAAATAGCCCTGTCCTGGGTCTAAGAAGGTCATCCCTCTGTTGTAAACTCAACCCAACCCAGCCACGAGGGAGACCCACGGGCCACTGCTGCCTGAAGCTGTAATGCCCCCCTGTGAGTCCCTCACTCGCGGAATTGAGGCTGACCGCAGTGGCCCCAGCTCTGGACACAGAGCTGGGTGAGGGTGGCCCCGCTATGCGAGGTCTGTCCCTCTGGCCATCCAGCTGGGCACAGTCAGGTGGAGGTAAAAAGCAGAGTGGCAAGGCAGTCGTACATAATCTGTCACTGTCCTTTGCATGCTCAAGATGCAGTGTGGTGGGGAAAGTGATGCATGACTGTTTATATAAGTAGTGTGACCACAGTTTTATAAAAGAAATTATAATCAGATCAGAAAAATATCTGGTGAGACATACATGAAATCTGTATAATGGGGCTACAATTATGAAGTTGGATTCACTTATTATTTTTTTAAAACTTCTCTCTTTAAAAACCTAATATTTATTTTACAACCCCCGCCCCACCCCCCACCCCACCTCACCCCCCGCCAAAAATGACAAGTCCATATTTTTCGCAACACTTTTGAAAACCCTAGTGATGTGTGGGATTCCAAAGAGAGCACTGCCTGTTGAGTATGGATGGCGGGGGCTGATCTTTCTGGATCTTTCGGGATGCGTGGTCTGAGCTGTCCCAGGTGCGGGTGCCCGTGTCTGAGCCACCCTGGGGAGGTCACCTGGTGTCCACCTCGCTTTTCCTGCTCCAAGCCTCACATGTTGCCTCTCCAGGTGTCCTCAGCCCTGTCTCCAGCCTGTATCCATCCCCTCATTCCTTTCTGGCTCCACCTACTTTTTGGCTGATTTATATTAGAAGGTGGGCTTCCCAGATGGCACAGTAGTAAAGAATTTTCCTGCCAATGCAAGAAACATAAGAGACGTGAGTTCAACCCCTAGGTCAGGAAGATCCCCTGGAGAAGGAAATGGCAACCCACTCCAGTATTCTTGCCTGGGAAATCCCATGGACAGAGGAGCCTGGGGGGTCGCAGAGAGTCAGACACAACTGAAGCGACTGAACACACATATTCACACACATCAGAAGGTGCCTGGAACGGCGCTTTATACCACAAAACCTATGTTGCACATAATCACACTCCTCAAACATTGTTGAAATGGAGTACCTAGGAAGATGCAGGAAGAAGGATATCATCTTCCATATTAGGCACAAGTAGGTTGTATGTATAGCTGCTACTCCTAATGTTTTGGGGGTTTTCCCCTGACAGGTGGCCATCAGATGAACTCTAAATGAAGCAGTCACCCTGCAAGCTAGCTAGTGGTTTTAAGATCATAGAAATACTGAGCGGGACTTCCCTTGTGGGCCAGCAGCTAAGGCTCCTCGAGGCCAGTGGAGAGGGCCCAGGTTCAGTCCCTGATCAGGGAACTAGATCCCACATGCCCCAGTGAAGACAGAAGATCTCGTGAGTTGCAGCCGTGACCTGTTGCAACCAAATCAATAAAATACATTTTAAAAAAAAAGAAAAGAAATATTTAGGAACGAGTATTCCTCCTGTTTATCCCAGGCCCAGCGATTTGGGAAAAATGTAGTTCTGTCTTCTAGGCAAGTGGACTGTGTGTAAAGGCGGCTGAGCTTTGGGTAAGAAATGCAGAGTCCGGTCAGGATGTTTGGTTTCTCAGAACGGAAGCCTGTTACTAGGCATTAACGTGCTGGTTACGCCACTCAAACCTCTCTCCTCTCTCCTGAGGGTAGATCGGCCCGGCCTCCTAAACGTAGGACACATTGAAAAAATGCAGGAGGGCATTGTGCACGTGCTCAAACTCCACCTACAGAACAACCATCCTGACGACGTCTTCCTCTTCCCAAAACTCCTGCAAAAGATGGCAGACCTGCGGCAGCTGGTCACGGAGCACGCGCAGCTGGTGCAGGTGATCAAGACGGAGTCGGACGCCGCCCTGCACCCGCTGCTGCAGGAGATCTACAGGGACATGTACTGATGTCCTGGCCGCACACGCGGAAGGGGCTTCTCGCGGGTTTTCAGAGGGGACAGCACTACAGAGGAGAGATGGGAGCAACGCAGCTTTGCACAGATGTCCACCATGGAAACCTTGGAACCACGGGAAGTATACTCGCTAGGTAACCGGAACGCTATTCCACGTTTTCTTTTTTGTAACCACTTCTTCTGAGAGTAGTGCAGAGTCTTGAGATGCTGGTGAGAAGCAGCTACTAGTCAGGACTTGGGAAATGATGGGGAATGGTGTTTAGCGGTCTGATTTTTAATGTGCCTGATGTGAATCAATGCAGATTTCTTTATATCGTGTTAGGAATTTATCAGTGAATTAACCTCAAAATACGTGGTCTGTCTTCCCTTTTTACCGCTTTTTGACTGTTGTGCTCTTTTATAATTTTGAAAACTAATCAGCACTTTTAAATTTTTATAATCCTGTAAACATAGATGTCTCCAAAGGTTAAGTATTTTAAAAGCAGTGAAATATTTATTTGGAAGACTTCGGTTCTGTTTCCTGAATTCGAAGAAAGACAACGTGCTATTTTTGAATCACAGGATTTAGAATGTCAAAGAATGATTTCAATAAGCTTATCGAAATGCATCGGTTGTTTCGTTTAAGTTTGCTGTTTTTGTGGTTGTAAGTAGTATGTGGAAAAGCCTGTTCCCAGGCGTGTGTAGAAGATTCCAGAAAGCCATGTCTCAAGGCCCCTCTGGACTCGATCCCCTCCCTGTTTTAAGCTAGTACCTGTGGTCAACAGGAACAAGAGGGACTCTGAAGTGTAGTCCGCTTCCCATTCCTCTTGGCTCGATTCCCTATCAAGTCTGAATACACTGAGCCGAGCTGTTTGGGGGCCAGGGTCGTGTCTCCAGGGGCAAACTGACAAGTTATTTGTAAATCTTGCTCCAGGCCCCCTCTGTCAAGGCAGCTCCTTGGTCTTTTTCTACGTTGCTTTTCTAAATATGCAGCTTTCTTTCTTTTTAACCCCTGTTGGTGGTAGCTGCTCCCTGGGGTGGAGAGGACATGGCACCTGTAACTTTATAGCGTGGGGGTGGGGCACAGGGGTGGGGACAGGGGTCTTATCTGGAGAATGGGCCTGGGTGGGGGGCAGGGTTGGGGGGTGGAAATGAAATGGTTTTATTTGGTCTCAGGATTCACAGCAGGCCGGTGGTTTTTGCAAGGATTTCAAGAGTTGTCTCCTTTTCCAGCTACATATATAAGGTGGTTTTACCAAAATCTAAAATGTCTGATTCAGCCTTAAAGGTCAAGTTTTCAACCTCAGTCCAGTTTGGAGGCAGTGTGGATTATGGTTTTTGTCTACAGCACATGGTCCTGTCCACCACCTGGATTAACTGTCCCGTCAGAGAGCTGCCAGAGTACCTCCCCACCCCATAGCCGGTTCAGCCCCTGGATGCCTCCTGGGCCAGCAGCATTTTTGACCCTTGATGTCCCTCCCCCTCTGTCTGTAGGACATTTGGTTCTAGAAGGTCATTATTATCTGCTGTTAAAGAATGGCTAGGATTGAATTTGAAAAAGTCCCCAAGATCAGCATTATCATACAAAAAACTAAGACTTCAGCTTAAAAAAGAGCAAGCCTTACAATTAGGACATCTTTGTACATGTTATACATTCGGTGATGCTTTTATCTTTTATTTTTTTAAGATGCAATCAAAGGACCTGCTAGAAACAAATGAAAGCATTTCCTCTTTAGAACTGACGCCAGTCAGGGGTCACCCTAAGTCAGAAAGGAGGTGAGCTTTGAGTCACAGGTGCACCTGTGTCCCCGTTCTTCCCTGAGATGGGAACTCCCTGGGCTGACTCCCACAGCCTGGAGGCCTGTGGCTCGTGTGAGTCTTGGGGTTGCGGGCTGGATCCTGTGTGTGTACCGCCTCTTGCTCTGGTGTTTCGGGACAGGTCTACGCACAGAGACACAGCTTTGGAAAGTGAGGCTCAAGCCTCAGGCTTTCAGAAGACTTGTTGGTTCTGTTTAGCTTTTCGTAGGACCTATCTGAAACCGCTCCCAACTCATGCTTGCCACTGAACAAGCTGACTGCTGGCCCAGCCTCTGCATCCACGGTGTCAGCGAGCATTTGGTCCTCTTGAGGTCCGGCCAGACCACCAGGGAAGCCCATGGTGAAGCCACAGAGGACCTTGGCCTGAAAGCAACCTGACATTGTTCACTTGTTAATAAGAAAAAATTCACTTGAAATAACAGAGCCACTCATTGCCACTCAGAATATCTGGGGTCACACAATCAGAGATTTCTCCGAGCATTGATAGTCAAATTATGGATGAATTATTCACCAGTTTAGTATATGGCAGTGTTTCAAACAGGAGCTATCGAAGGAACATGCTTCTTGCTTGTGAGGTTTTAGCAGACATCAGCATAAGGTCCAGTGGAAGCATGTTCCAGAAACTTCAGACGACCAGTGTAGAGCCAGCCGCCCACGGTGCTGGATGCAGGTCATGGTGGGATCCCCCTTTCACCACCTTGATCTGTCTTAAGCCACTGTTTAAACCTGGTTCTTCGTTCTCTCACTTAACACCAAGTGCCAAACTCCCCAGAGGCCACAGACTACCGGCGGCCTTTGTCTGGACAGGTGGGGCCGCCCTGCTGCCCCCAGTGGCCCTCCTCTCTGCCTCCTGGGCATTTCCTGTGGGGGTCCCACAGGCTCACTTCTGCCCCCGCCACACTGCGAGAAGCCTGAGGGCTGCACACGCAGGACACCGCCTCCCTGATGTCCAGTGTCAGAGGAGCAGTTTGACGGCAGCCCTGCCCGCTGCCCGCCTGGCCTCCGGGAGCCCTGTGACCTCTACACAGCTTTCTGGGGAGAGGGGTTCAAAGCATCTTCCCAAAGAGTGTTCACGCACAGGGGTCAACGGTGACTGTGAATCGAAGGGAAAGAATTCCAGAATGCCCGAGAGCCGGCCCTGTTAAAGTGAGCCCTTCCTTCCGATTTAAGAGCACAGAACGCGGCAGCCTACGATCTGATCAGAAGCTCCAGGCACAGGTAGGGCCCTTGTTTGGATGATTGATGATGAGAAAGCTATTAATTGAGCAGCTACTATTTCCCCAAATCTGCAGCTGGACAGCCACGTCGATAGGGCCGTCACGAGCCTCTGTTAAATCTAAGGTCCATGGAGCACTGGGGCCTTCGGTGCATCCCTAGTCAGACCGTCTGTGATCAGGGCTCAGAGACTGTGTGCCCACCTCTGCTGTGTGCACCCTGAGGCAAGGAAGCCTATGTGGATTTTTAAAGCAAATTTTATCATTTAAAGGGAGCCTTGGAAATTCCCCACTGGTCCAGGGGTTAGGACTCCGCGCCTTCACTGCTGAGGGCCCAGGTGCCTGGCCCACCCAGGGCCTGCCTCCTCTGCAGCTTCACCTGCTGGCCGAGGGGGAGCCTGTTCACAGGGAGATGCTGGCAGGCGAGAGCAGACAGAGATGTCTCTGTGCAAGCCTTTGGCAGCTGCGGCTCCCTGCGCCTCTGCCCCCAAGTCACACCTGAGCCCCTCTCTGCCTGACTCCTTTTCAAGCCACTGTGACACCAGACGTTTTGACGACTCACGGCCGGATGCATGACAGAGAGCTTCTTTTGTCTTGAACCAATGACCACACTCGTCTCTGGAATGTCTTTAAAAGTCCTATTTAAATATAAGTCCACTGTTTCAACCAAGGAGTCAGGTGCTTCCAGCTAAGACCAACTTGGCCACTGGCCTGGCCTTCAGTAGGGGCTTCCAGGGACCCTGGAAAACTAGTCATCTGAAAGTGCCTCTTCAACCTGCACGGCCTTTCAAAACGTGGATCCTGCGAGGAAGACATGCAGGTGCTCCCGGCTCAGAAGGTCTGCCTGGTCCCCTGGGGTGACAGATTCTCGGCAACGAAATCTCTGCCTGGAGCGGTCAGCTAAGGGGACTCCTGCCTTGGCTCTCCAGATGGCGTGGCCCGCCTGCAGCAGGGAGGCCCCGTGGACAGCCCTGTGGGGAGGAGCGGACGGAGGGCCGTTGCGGTGAGTGCTGACCAGCCGGCCTGAATGCTGCCAATTGTGCCCTTCTACCTGCGCATGTTCCCCCTTCCCAGGGCTAGGACTTTTCCGGGGGCACGCTTTCCTCTGGGGAACTTCTCTCCAGGAAGATCCAAGATTAGGCTCCAAAGGTTGAAGTCTGAGTGTTGGCTGAGATTTACATCTATTTTTAGGCACCATTTTTTAGCACAATTAGGAAAATGGCTACCAACCCTCAGCAGAGACACACACCAGACTGAAAGCAAGGGCAGCAGCTCGGTCTGACTGGGAATACAGGAGGCCCTCCTCCTTCTCTGGGAACTGCCGGACAAACTAAACTAAACTAAACTAAACTAAAGTGCTCTACGGGAAAAAAAGACCACACGTCTTCAAAGTCACTTCAAGAGTTACATAACGCTTTCCACGATGCTGTTTCTGTGGGGTGTGGCAGGTTCCTACTTTATTCCCATAGAGTGGGCTGCTATGGGTGTGGCCCACTTATTAGAACAGAGAGGCTGCTGCCTGAGGCTGACTTCCACACGCCTTTTCCTGGCTTGGGGCGCCCAGACTCCTCAGATCTAGTCTGCTTCTCAGAATTTCAGCTTGAGGCAGAAGTATAACCCCCCTGAGGCAGAAGTATAACCCCCCCTGAGGAAGAGGGGGCCACGTGATGTGGTTCAGCTGGAACCCTCTGCACAGAACAGACCACACTGCACCCACGCCAAGGTCACATCTTGATTGAGCAACTCATAACATAGAGGACCTCGGGGCCCCCGTGGCTGTTAAACGCATTATTTGGGGGGAAAAAAATCGAATACCAATTTTTTACATCGCAAAACAGCAAACTGAGATCTGGGTCCGTTTTTTTCATTTAAAAATGTGTTTGCTAGTTTGGGTCGAATGTGAACAGCGTCCCCACTTCCCCCAGAGAAGGTGACACAGCAGCCTCCTCTTCTCTTGCCTTCCCCACCGCCCGACCCCCAGCGGCGTGGTGACCAGTACAGCATCGTGCCCACCGGAGCACAGACAAGACCCCACCACCAGCCCTGCCTCCTGGGACAGAAGGTGGGGGCCACGGGGTGAGAGGCCCGGAAGACGAGTAGCTGATCTTTTCCAGGAAAAATCATTCGCTTTGGGGAAGTTTCTTTTTAAAGGCACAGATGGTCTGGTCCTTTTTTCAGGCCTAAAAAACAACGTACCTCACACGAGATGGATACCACTCAGTGCCCTATAGTTACAGTATTTGTGTTCGAGTATCACTTTTCTTTTTTCCTACAAGGTATGGTAAAAGGAACTATGTTAATAGCTATATCTTAAATACTGTGATTTGAGGGTTTTTTTAAAATCCTAATATTTTACTAACCTACAATCATGCATCTAACAACAAACATTGGGATTTTTCTGAAATCAGTGTGAACTGATGTATACTGTTTAGTAGCCTGGCTCTTGGACCTGTTGGAAACACAGAAAAAGCTGAAACGTCACAACAGAAATACAACTGCATGCGCACACAGGCCCGCCCCTTCCCGGACATCCCCGCCCCCCGGCCCCACATGCGCACACGCACACACGTCTGAGCTTTCCTTCTCTTCTGAGCCACCTGGAATTTATTTCCCTGTAAATCTGTTCTCTTTGTCATTTCGCACGTGAGCAACACAGGCAAGCCTGTCTATCAGCAAGGCAGACCCATGGTCCCGCTGGAGGAACTTCTGTGTAGTAAGCAGCTGTCTGCTCTTCAGGTAATCACTACCTGGGGGTTGTTACCAAAGAGCTCTGCAATCTGAGAGATGCTAAGACAGGGACTCTCGTCAGCTGAGCTGGCAGCCTCCAGCGGAAGCCACGGACCCCGTGCATCTCCCAGGCGACCTGTTCCAAACCTGGGCGGGCTTCTTCCTGACACACGTCTGTGCCTGGGGCACATGGGGCACAGAAGCCTTTGCCAGACGGCGGCAGAGCCATGCAGTTTCCAAAGCCAGGACTGGGCCTGATCCCTTGGTGTGTGTTGGTCCGTTACTGTTCTTGGTGCCTTAATGCTCTCAAAGCATTTAGGGGCTGACAGACCCCTTGCATTTCATACTAAACAGGAGTAATTCCAAAGCAGAGCTTTTCTGGGTAGGCTCCAAATGACCTCTGAGTCTCAGCCCCCTGGGTGTGATTGGTGGGGCACCTGGGGTCAGGGAAGCTGGGGTATGCAGAGGACAGCGAATGGGATCTCCTTGGTCACTTTCCTGGTGGTCGTGCCAGGCAATTAGAAAATGGCTATAAAATAACGTTAATTTAAATTAAAAAAAAATGGATCTTATTCATTTTCCCTTTAGGAGATTGAACTGATCATATATATTAATTTCTATCCTAAATTGATGGGAACTTATATGTTTGGAATGTCCTACTGTAAGACTGATGAATGTAAAGAGTTAATTTCAGGGTACAGTATTGCCTTAATGGTTTTAAAAAATAAACTATTTTTAAAAATTATTTGGGGAGTTTTGAGTGATGCTGTGAGATGAACTGCTTGTCTGGAAAAACAAGTCCCAACTATAGGGTCTGCCCTGAACCCAAGCCTGAGATTGTCTCTGCCTGTCAGGGTCCAGTAACAGAGTGGGCCTGGGACAGTGTGGCCCCAGAAGACAAAACTCAGCACCAACATCGGTCAGTAAAAGCTCTTTATTCGTCCCCTCATCAGACATGTCTCTGTCACCCACAGGCAGCGTGCGCTGGCCCTGCAGAACTCACAGACTCGGACAGAGCAGCTCCACCCTCTAGGGACCGGGGGCACAGGGCGAGCCCACGGCCAGCATCTCACCAGCTGCTAAGCTGGGGGCTGTGAGGGTGGGCGGCTGTGGTCCCTGAGAGCTGGCATCTGGGGTCTGGCTGTGGGCACCGCCTCTGCCAGCTCCCCTGGTGCTGCTGCAGGCGGACCCCAGCCCCTCTGGGCTGCAGACACGGCTCCCAGTGGCCCAGGAAGAAGGCCGGCACAGCGGCTCCATCTCGGCCCCGTCTCTGACCTGGGCCATGGAAGCCCGCGTGGGCACGAGCCCCAGGTGGGCATCGCTGCGGACCTGGTACCCGACTGCACTCATGGTCGAGAACTGCGTTGGCTGGCAGGCCTCGTGGAGGGGACCTTCCTTTTCTCCAAGTCTTGCTGGATTTCCTGAGGGAAAGCATTCATGTTGTCCTGGACACAGGGGAGGCAAAATCTCTTGGAGTAGAATAAACTGCATTCCTAAAAGAAGCAGGGGGGAGTGCTGAGTGCCACAAGAAGCCCAGTGCAGCATCTCCCAGAGGGCAGCCCTTCACTGCAGGTAGGGCAGGGGGGTAAGGCGAGGCCCCCAGATACACAGCAGCAGAGAGGAGCTGGGGGGGTGTGGCCAGAGCCAGACAGCAAGAGGGAGAGGGGGGCGCAGGGGCCTGGCTGCCCACCTCCAGGAAGGTGGTCCTCATCTAAGAGAAGAAGAGCCAGTGGGCCTCCAGGAGGGCAGTGGGGGCAAATGAGCCAGGGTCAGAGCCCACATGCCGTGGGACTGGTTCGGCAAGACCTGCAAAGGCGTCCAGGAGAGACGGTGCAGCCTGGCTTCTGCAGGGCAGGGCTCCACCGTGGGCAGAGGATGAGCACAGGCCAGGCCCAACAGCCTGGAAACCCGAGGTCCCTCCCTCTCCCGGCTATCACGGCGGTGGGGCAGGGGCTCGGTGACACTGGCGCTGGGAGCAGCCGGGGAGGGAGGGACAGCCCACAGAGCCGGAGGCCACGGCCGAGTGGCTGGTCCGGGCAGGAGGTCAGAACTGCTCCACCACTTACAGTGGCGACCGTGGCATCCCTAACATTGCACTGATTTCCATCTGGCACAGGGCCCAGACCTGCCTCCCAGCCACCCTGCAGCCAGGTGTGGCCACGTGGCTGAGTCTGCTCAGCAGCGTCACCACAGCTGTGTGCCACTTCCTGGTCATGCCCTCTGAAGGAACAGGCATGTGCGCTCTGGTCCCTTCCCACCAACGGGGATGCAGACGTGACGGTGGAGCGGCGACATCCCCAGGGGCCCCGACGGGTCCACAGCTGTGCCCCGCCAGCACCACCTGGGCCGGGCTCTATTCGTCTCATCTGTCCCGTGTATCGGAGTCCCTTCCTTCCAGGAGCTTAGGCTGTGCCTCGACCAAGACAACTGTGGAGATCTGATGCCACACGGGGCCCCGTCCCCTGTCACCAAGTGCGGCCCGAACTCCCGGGGTGGCAGTCCTGGCTGTCCCCCACCTGGCCCCACTCCCCTGACTCCAGCCGCTTCCCGTCCACACAGGGCCTCAGCCGCCCCAGCTGCCCGTCTCCTCACACCCCCGCGGTGGTGTGGCTCCCTCCAGGCCTTTGCTTGGGCTGAGGCTTCCTCCCACCTGCCAGTGTCATCACCTTGACTTCTGATGGATGGAGGCTGGCTGTCCCCACCCGCTCTGTGGCACGGCCCCCCACCCCTCCATCGCTGGCCCTGGGCCCCCGGGCAGGCGCTTGGGCTGCAGACGCGCTCAGGGTGAGGGTCTCCGCAGCTGCACTCCACCCGTCCTCGGGCTTTCAGACAACAGGCTCAGCTGGCCCACTCAACTGGGCCAACTCCACCTCCAGATCTGTTTCCTCGCCTATAAAATGGGCGCAGCACTGCTCTGCCTGACCAGGCTGGGACATGGTTGAAGAAGGCGTTGCTGGCAACACACGTCCCAAGCACAGGGTCTGGCACACAACAAATGCTCCAGAAAGCGCGCCCCTTCCTCTGCAAGGGCCCTGGGGGACGATTAGAAAGGCCATGATCCCACGGAGGGACGAGCACAACGCCAGCTGCACTTGGTGGGGGAGGGGAGGCAACTAGGGGCTAAGGGGAGTGGGCGGTGGTGGTGCAGAGCCTCCAGGAAGCTCTCTCCTCAACCACCACCGAGACCCTCACACTGACCCCAGCCTCTCTGTCCCCGAGCCCTCTGCTGACTGCAGGGACCCACCCGTGATGAGGCAGAGCAGCTGCCCTCCAAGGGACCGTGAGGGGGCCCAGGAACACCAAGGCCAGGAAAGGGTGCCGCTCACACTGCCCCTGGGAATGGCACGAAGGTCACCTCTCCCGAGACCACACGTGTGAGGTCCCGGCCACGGGGGAGAGAGGTAAGGCATCCCCAGGCGCACGCGGCTTACCCACCGGGCCCACACACACCAGCTTGCTGCACACGCTGCACCTCGAGCCGACGATCAGGAACCTGCCCTTGTCAGGGGTGAAGGGGTCCCGCATCACGTAGCTCTCCTCCAGGAGGCTGCAGGACAGGAAGTGGGGGCAAGAAGGCCCAGACCTCCGCTGACAGGGACTCGGCAGCTGCACAGACCTCCCTGGGGGCCGCCCACTGTGGGTGCTCAATGAGCTGAAGGTCAAGAATCAAGGCCTGGGACCCACTGGCTCTATTGCAGGCCTTTCCTGGGCAGATGCTGGCCCTCAGGGCTCACTCCCACCAGAACAGGAGCTGCGGGCAGGCAAGTCCACCCAAGGCTGGCCCCTGGGCCTAACATGGAGGGAGGGACTGGGAGGTTCCAGCAGAGCCAGATGGCCCTTGAACCCTTCAGGTGTGGGTCACACCTGAAGCACCCAGAGCCCGGGTAGGGTGGGCCCAGACATGACACCCAAGCTCTGTGTCAGATTCAGGCCGGCGAGCTCTGGGGGGGCTCCTGGGCTGGGACACTGGTACTCACATGACAGATTGGCTGTCAGGGGGCTGCTGCCCCTTGTAGCTGTATGGAGCTGTTAAGGCACAGAGCTGGCACTTGAACACACCCAGGGGGTTTCGCTCTGTCTCACACGCCATCTGCAAGGTCAAGAGATGGGGCATGTCACCTGCAGAACCAAGAACCACCCACATTTCAAAGCTCCCCACTGCCTGCTTCTTATCCAGAGAAGACGGGCACCTTACAGCAAGGGATCTCCATTTCAGGGCAACTACGAGACTGCTCAAGGTCACACGTTCTTGTCAAGTGTACATGAGGTAATCACCAGGACAAGACTATATGCTGGGCCAAAAAATGAGCTTCAAACTTTAAAAGCCTGAAATCATAAAGTACATTCTCTAGCCCCGAAATAATTCAATTAAAATCAGTGACAAAGAGATACATGGAAAATTCCCAAATATTTGGAAATTAAGTGATATATTTCTGTATAAATCATGATTCACAAAAGAAATCCCAAGAGAAATTAGAAAATAGCTTGAACTAAATGAAAACTAAAATATCAAAATATACACAATGCAGTTTAAGCTGATTTTAGAGAAATTCACAGCTTTAAATGCCTAAACTGGAAATGAAGGTTTAAAATAAGTCATCTTTCTACCTTAAGAAGCTAGAAAAAGGCAAATTAAACCCAAAATACACAGAAAAAAAGGAAATAATAAAGAACAGAAATCAAAGAAATAGAAAATGGACAAACAATAGGGAAAAAAATCAATAAAACCAGAGCTGGTTACTTCAAAACATCAATAAAGTTGATAACCTCTAGTTAGACTGATCAAGAAAAATAGAAAAATGATACAAATTACCATAATGAGGAACAAAATAGGGGATATCACTAAGACTACAGACATTAAAAGGATAAGGGAATGCAGTGACCTTTTTTACCAAATGAACTTGGCAGTTTAGATGAAACAAACACATTTCTTGAAAAAAACACCAATTATCAAAAGTGACTCAAAATGGAAAACCTGAAAAGATCTATATTTATTGAGAAAAGTGAATCTGTAATTTTAAATTTTGCTTTAAAGTGAAATAGAGCCCCAGCAAAACTTCATGCCCAGATGGCTGTGCCAGCAAACTGTCAAGCATTAACAGAAGTAATGCCAACCTACAGCAACGCTCAGAATACAGAGCAGGGGGCTTTCCTGGTGGCTCAGTGGTAAGGAAGCCGCCCACCGATGCAGGATACAAAGGATGGACCCCCGATACAGGGAAGAGCCCCCATGTGGAGGAGCAACTAAGCCCATGCACCACAGGGCACGGGAGCCGCAACTGTCGATGCCCACTCACCACAGCGCCTGCGCTCTGCAGCAAGACCACCGCAGTGAGGAGCCCACACAGCACAACCAGAGAGCAGCCCCTGCTCCCCGCAACCAGAGAAGGCCTGCTCCCAGCAAAGACCCGGTGCAACCAGAAGCAAATAAACAAATCACAGGAAAAAAGAAAATACAGAGAAACGAATACTTTCAAAGAAATTCTGACACAGAAAACAAATTTATGGTACCCAAAGGAGAACAGGGTGCACACATACAAAAAAAAACCAAAGAAATTCTGAGCCTAGTATCACATGAACAACCAAAACTGCCAGTACTACCTTGATAGCATTAACTGGACTAGACTATCAGCTGAAACCTGATACCTGATTAACTGATTCCTGACAGCATTAACTGGAAAGACCAGAGATCTCTTCAAAGAATTAGAGATACCAAGGGAATGTTTCAGGCAAAGATGGGCACAATAAAGGACAAAAATGGTATGGACCTAACAGCAGCAGAAGATAAGAAGAGGTGGCAAGATTACACAGAAAAACTATACAAAAAAGATCTTCATGAACCAGATAATCATGATGGTGTGATCACTCACCTAGAGGCAGACATTCTGGCATGCAAAGTAAAGTGGGCCTTAGGAAGGAAGCATCACTACGAACAAAGCTAGTGGAGGTGACGTAATTCCAGCTGAGCTATTTCAAATCCTAAAAGATGATGCTGTGAAAGTGCTGCACTCAATATGCCAGGAAATTTGGAAAACTCAGCAGTGGTCACAGGATTGGAAAAGGTCAGTTCTCACTCCAATTCCAAAGATGGGTGATGCCAAAGAATATTCAAACTACCGCACAACTGCACTCATCTCACACACTAGCAAAGTCATGCTCAAAATTCTCCAAACCAGACTTCAACAGTACGTAAAGTGTGAACTTCAGATATTCAAGCTGGATTTAGAAAAGGCAGAAGAACCAGAGATCAAATTGCCAACATCCGTTGGATCACAGAAAAAGCAAGAGAGTTCCAGAAAAATATCTACTTCTGCTTTATTGATTATGCCAAAGCCTTTGACTGGGTGGATCACAACAAACTGTAGAAAATTCTTCAAGAGATGGGAATACCACACTATCTCACCTGCTTCCTGAGAAATCTATATGCAGGTCAAGAAGCCAACAGTTAGAACCAGACAGGGAACAATGGACTGGTTTCAAATTGGGAAAGGAGTGTGTCAAGGCTATATATTGCATATATTTAACTTATATGCAGAGTAACGCGGGCTGGATGAAGCACAGGTGGAATCAAGATTGTCGGAAGAAATATCAATAACCTCAGATACACAGATGACACCACCCTTACGGCAGACAGTGAAGAGGAACTAAAGAGCCTCTTGATGAAAGTGAAAGAGGAGAGTGAAAAAGCTGGCTTAAAACTCAACATTCAAAAAATTAAGGTCATGGCATCCAGTCCCATCACTTCATGGCAAACAGATGGGGAAACAATGAAAACAGTGACAGCCTTTATTTTCTTGGGCTCCAGAATCACTGCAGAAGGTGACTGCAGCCATGAAATTAAAAGACACTTGCTCCTTGGGAAAAAAGTTATGACCAACCTAGACAGCATATTAAAAAGCAGAGACATTACTTTGCTGACAAAGGTACATCTAGTCAAAGCTACGGTTTTTCCAGTGGTCATGTATGCATGTGAGAGTTGGACTATAAAGAATGCTGAGTGCCGAAGAATTGATGCTTTTGAACTATGGTGTTGGAGGACTCTTGAGAGTCCCTGGGACTGCAAGGGGATCCAACCAGTCCATCCTAAAGGAAATCAGTCCTGAATATTCATTGGAAGGACTGATGCTGAGGCTGAAATGCCAATTTTTGGCCACCTGATGCGAAGAACTGACTCCTTGGAAAAGACCCTGATGCTGGGAAAGATTGAAGGCAGGAGGAGAAGGGGACAACAGAGGATGAGACGGTTGGACGGCATCACCAACTCGATGGACATGAGCTTGAGCAAGTTCCAGGAGTTGGTGATGGACTGGGAAGCCTGGCATGCGGCAGTCCACAGAGTTGGACACAACTCAGAGACTGAACTGAACTGATTATAGGAAAACTACAAAGCTATGACAAACCTCGACAGTGTATTAAAAAGCAGAGACGTCACTTTGCCGACAAAGCTCTGTATAGTCAAAGCTATGGTCTTTCCAGTAGTCATGTAGGGATGTGAGAGTTGGACCATAAAGAAGGCTAAGTGCAAAGAAGTGATGTGCTCAAACTGTGGTGCTGCAGAAGACTCTTGAGAGTCTCTTCGACTGCAAGGAGATCAAACCAGTCAATCCAAAAGGAAAGCAACCCTGAATGTTCATTGGAAGGACTGATGCTGAAGATCCAATACTTTAGCCTGATGTGAAGAGCCAACTCCCTGGAAAAGACCCTGATGCTGGGAAAGATTGAGGGCAGGAAGAGAAGAGGGTGACAGAAGATGAAATGGTTGGATGGCACCACCAACTCAATGGACGAGTTTGAGCAAACTCCCAGAGATAGTGAAGGTCAGGGAAGCCTGGCGTGCTGCAGTCCGTGGGGTCACAAAGAGATGGACACGACTAAGCGACTCAACAACACAACAGAGCAATATCCTTCACAAAATTCTTCAGCAAAATATTAGCAAACTGAATCCAATAATACATAAGAGGCCTAGAGCATCAGGGCAGACTGGATTCCACCCAGGAACGCAAACCTGGTTCAACATTCGAAAACCAGTGAATGCAACTCAGGAGAGTAACAATACAGGAAGAAATAGGGCACCATCATATCAGGAGATGCATAAATTATAAGCATGAGAGAATTCAACAGTATTTTACAAAATTCAAGGCTCTGAGTGGTGTTTCAAACCTTCCTGGGCATGTGAGACCTCTTTAACTTAGGAGTTATCTTTTCCCAAAGACTCCACCCTCCACTGTCCATACAGCAGGCTGAGCTGCAGTGAAGGTTCGGCATCCTTCACGCGTTCCCTGCACTCTCCCACCTTCCGGCCTCGTTCCTGGCCTTCTCGCCGCCAGACCTAGGGGACTTCCCTCTGGCTCCCCTGCTTTCAGCTGTTTGAATATGTATCTACTTCCCCGCCCTCCCCCCGCCCCCCTTTAAACCTACTTATCCTGCTTGTGCTGCATTAAGCAGTTCGATCTGTGGCTTAATATCTGTAGTTTAGGAAAATCCTTAACCATTATCACTTCATAGATTTCTTCTTCAGCCCCCTTCTCTCTCGTCTCCCACGGACATCTCAACCGCAAGTACGCTGGGCTCAGGTGTCCCCGCGGTTCTCGGGACCTATGTTGTCACTCTCTTTGAGTTTCAGTTCGCGTCGTGTCTACCGCCCTGCCGTCAAGTTCACTGACTTTTCCCCTCGGTTCTGTCCAGTCGGCCAACCGGCCCTCGGACGGCCCCGGGCCCGCAGCGCCGCGCAGCGCGGGAACAAGCCTGGCGCAAGTTCCGCGGCCTGGCCCCAAGGCGCCTGCCTCTCCTCTCAGAATCCCCGAGTCCTCCGCGAAGGAACCCAGGCCCGGCCAGGGCAGCGGGACGCCGGTGAGGTGACCGGCGCGCGGCCGCACACGTCCCCTCACATTCCCTCCAGGCCGCCAGGCCGCACCACTCACCTCCGCTGCCTCGGCGGCGGCGAGGCCCGGCCCTGGTCCCCACTGCCGCCCGCCTGCCCTGGGCGCCTGCGCGACGGAGGCGGGGCTGTGCGGCGGGGGCGGGGCTTCGTGGCGGACTTCCTCTTCGCCTTCCGCTTGGCTTCCGCGTTGGCTCAGAAGGCGAAGACTGCGCCCGCGGTGTGGGGCGTCCGCGGTCGATCCCTGGGTTGGGAAGATTCCCTTGGAGGAGGGCATAGCAACCCACTCCGGTATTCTTGCCTGGAGAATCCCCATGGACAGAGGAGCCTGGTGGGGCTACAGTCCTTGGGGTCGCGAAGAGTCAGACACGGCTGAATGCCTTTCATTTTCGCTTCCGCCTTGGCGGCGGCATCCCACACCCAAGATCTGCTGTCTGACAGGGTCTGGGCAGCCCTCGGCGCGCCTTGGCTAGTTCACGCCGACTCGTCCTGCCGTCCTAGCTGCCCGGAGGCTCTCAGCTTCCTTCTCGGTTTCCGTCGAGCTCCGCAGAGTCCGTGCTGCCAGTGTGCAGCCCGGCCGCCCAGGCCCTGGGGTTTGTAGCCGCCCCGCCCGCCCAGGCCCTGGGGTTTGTAGCCGCTCCGCCCGCCCAGGCCCTGGGGTTTGTAGCCCCAGGCGTTTCGCTCACCCTGTGCTTCTGAGAGGAATGCTCTGGTCTTACTTCTCCTGTTAGCTGTCCCCTCACTAGGACGGAAGCCCGGGTTCTGCGGCGAGCGCTACAGGCAGTGGTTACTGTGTCCCCTGAGACAACAGATAAAATGGGTTCAAAATCGGTCCTGTCCCTTCCTGCTGTCCTTAAAAGCTGTGTGCACCTGGGGCTTGTCACTGTGCTCCTCCAAAGCCTTGAAGTGATCTAAGTGGCCTGCAATGCCCTTCGTCATCTGGACAGAATCCAACATGTAAAGGATACATAGTGTATGGTTCCAATTCTATGACATTCTGGGAAAAGGCAGAACATTGGAAATTCTATTGATTTTATACATTTTTAGTTAAGTGAAGACTGAGAAAGATTTGAAAATTGAAAAATGAGAAATTGGCTGCAGATTAGAATCTAAAGCAAAGCATTGCTACTAGCAACAAAAGGGGGTGCTCTGGAGGATTCGTTCTTTATGCACTTCATCACACTTAAGTACAACCTCACTCTTCCCTTTCTCCATTTCTTCCAGTAAAATTAAGCTCCAAAGACCGGCATTTTGCTTTTAGTGCTGAATGAAATGCTGGAAGCAGGCCTTAGTTTTTAAGTAAACTCTTAAAAGTATAACATACATACAGAAAAAAATACATACTTCCTAAGTGTGCAGCAAGGTGAAATCTCACAAAGTGAGTACGACAGTGTATCCAGCAGCCAGGTGAAGTCTTCCACAATGTGAGACACTAGAGGTTTCTTCTGGCTCGCTCAAAGGAAAGGTTGGCCCTCTGTAGGGTGGTGGAGGGAGCATGCGTTTAGAGAACTGAATTTATGGCCAAGAGAGAAAATGCCTTTAACTGTTGTATATTTTTTAAGTAAATATTTAAGAGTATGAAAAGGACATCTTTTGGGGGGTGTTAGCTCTAGAAGGTCTTTGTAGGTCCTCATAGAACTGTTCAGCTTCTTTAGCGTTACTGGTCAGGGCATAGATTGGATTACCATGATATTGAATGGTTTGCCTTGGAAACGAACAGAGATCATTCTGTGGTTTTTGAGATTGCCTCTAAGTACTGCATTTCAGGCTCTTTGACTATGATGGCTACTCCATTTCTTCTAAGGGATTCCTGCCCACAGTAGTAGATACAATGGTCATCTGAGTTAAATTCACCCATTCTGGTCCATCTTAGTTCACTGATTCCTAGAATGTCAATGTTCACTCTTCTCTGCTCCTGTTTGGCCACTTCCAATTTGCCTTGATTCATGGACCTAACATTCCAGGTTCCTATGCAATATTGTTCTTTACAGCGTCGAACCTTGCTTCTATCACCAGTCCCATCCACAACTGGGTGTTGTTTTTGCTTTGGCTCCATCCCTTCATTCTTTCTGGAGTTATTTCTCCACTGATCTCCAGTAGCATATTGGGCACCTACTGACCTGGGGCGTTCAGCAGAGTACATCATGAGAAACGATGGGCTGGAGGAAGCACGGGCTGGAATCAAGATTGCTGGGAGAAATATCAATAACCTCAGACATGCAGATGACACCACCCTTATGGCAGAAAGTGAAGAACTGAAGAGCCTTTTGATGAAGGTGAAAGAAGAGAGTGAAAAAGTTGGCTTAAAGCTCAACTTTCAGAAAACTAAGATCATGGCATCCAGTCCCATCACTTCATGGCAAATAGATGGGAAAACAGTGGAAACACTGGCTGACTTTATTTTTCTGGGCTCCAGAATCACTGCAGATGGTGACTGCAGCCATGAAATTAAGACACTTGTTCCTTGGAAGGAAAGTTATGACCAACCTAGACAGCATATTGAAAACCAGAGGCATTACTTTGTCAACAAAGGTCCATCTAGTCAAGGCTATGGTTTTTCCAGTGGTCATGTATGGATGTGAGAGTTGGACTATAAAGAAAGCTAAGCACAGAAAAATTCATGCTTTCGAACTGTGGTGCTGGAGAAGACTCTTGAGAGTCCCTCGGACTGCAAGGAGATCCAACCAGTCCATCCTAAAGGAAATCAGTCCTGAATATTCATTGGAAGGACTGATGCTGAAGCTGAAACTCCGATACTTTGGCCACCTGATGGGAAGAGCTGACTCATTTGAAAAGACCCTGATACTGGGAAAGATTGAGGGCAGGAGGAGAAGGGGACAACAGAGGATGAGTTGGTTGGATGGCATCACCAACTCAATGGACATGGGTTTGGGTGAACTCCAGGAGTTGGCGATGGACAGGGAGGCCTGGCGTGCTGTGGTTCATGGGGTCGCAAAGAGTCGGACATGCCTGGGCGACTGAACTGAACTTAAAGAGTATAATATACACACAGAAGCAGGCTTTACAAATACAAGTCTTCTTAATCAACACAATAGTTTGAGGTAGATGAAGGACATGTAGCTTCAAACGGTGTCATCTCTCTGCATACAAAACTTGTTCCACTCCTTTGAGTGAAAAACAAATCCAAGAACGTCTATCTTGTTTTCCTGGGCAATGCACACTCGGGAGGCATGAATAACTATTTCCAACTTGTTCTGAAAAATATCTGCCCTGTGCCTGGAAGCGTGGTTAAGAACAAAGGCATCTTAAAAGACTCTTTTAGAAATTGATGCCATGTTCCAGGAAAATGACTTTCTAAAGAAACCTGAATTTATAGTTTTCTCAGTACTTTCTTTTCCTGACGTTAACTTAAAACAATAAAACGGCCAGTTATTTTTACCAGAAAAATGGACTCATTCAGAAGCAGCAATGAAGTGCAGTTTCAGACATGTAAGTCTGGCAAGAACAGAGGCGTCTTTAACAGAGAAGGTGTAGCTGGAGGGGCTTTTCACTGGCTGAGCTGTGACAGCCTCTCACTGGCTACGCAGTTGCCAGGCAAGGAGAAAATCTTTCTTCCTCCTGCATCACTTCCTGCCAGTACCTGTCTTCCAGTTGGGACCTGTGTTGACCTGACTGGGATATGCATGAGACCCCACATCTGGCCTCCCGACTCCATTTTCGTGAGGTTTCCCTTTATTCATTTCCACACTGACAATGTTATAATTGGCATCTCAGATTTCGAAACTATAAGAATACGTGTCATTGCTGACCCTGGAAGGACCCTGGCAACCCCTTCGTTCCCAGTACACATGGGAACAGCCCTGCGAATCTGCTAGACTTCTCCCTGTAGCCACAAGTGGAGAGTCGTGTCTCCCCAGGGCATTCAGCTGCTGTCCTTGATCCTGTCTCAGGGGCTCCCCAGCCCCAGCCTTGTTCCTGGACTGCCAAGTCGGCCACTGCCTTTTTGACTCTGTCATGCCTCCGAATCATGAGATGCAGTGCTGACGTGGGGGCTTATTTCCAGGGAAGGGAGCCCAAATAGTGTGACCCTGGGCCTCCCACAGCATCAGAAGGGGTGGAGACTTGAGCTGATGCCTAAACTTGGGGAGAATATCTGGGCTCTCCCCACCCTCCCCCAAAGAGCACCTGAGACCACCTTATCTGCCGTGGGTCTTCCCAGCCGCTAACGGGGGCCTGGCCGACAGTTCCTGCACATTGCCAGGGCTTACACTCCACAGTTCTGTGTTCCATGGGTGAGTGCACCTGACGTGAACCCAGTATAAAGAGTTAGTCCCAGTTTTCCACGCTCTCAACCAGTTCAGAAGTCGTGTGCTAATGGGAGGTGCTAATGAACATGAACTTCACTCAGAACAGTGGGCCAGAACCTGGGCACACCTGGGACTTCCCACAAAACCCAGAACTGAGCTTCTGACTCTTAACTCTTTGGGTGGCCTTGGGCAAGTCACAAAGCCTTTTCATTTACTCACCTGATGAAGAAGACTGCCCCCACAACAGGGAGGAAGGGATGGAAAGCCTATACCTGTGCATGCGCCCATACCTGAGAAGGTGTGAAGTGCCATGGCCATGCACTGCAGATCAGCACCTCCGGGGTGCCAAGGGAAATTGAAAGTGTTGGTCAGTTGTGTGCAACTCTGCGACCCCATGGACTGTAGCCTGCCAAGCTCCTCTGTCCATGGAATTCTCCAGGCCCGAATACTGGAGTGAAGCCATTCCGTTCTCCAGGGGTGATAAGTGACAAACACCTGGGAGAAAGCGGCCACGACCTGTGGGTTGTCCCGCTTTGCTGGCACTGGATTTGGAGGGCAGGCGCCATCTGTGTACCCACCCTATCACAGAAATCACTGCAGGCCTCATGGAAAACATCGTACATTTAGTTCACATCAAGCTTAAAGTGGCATCTACGTAAAGGAACATGCTTTAGGGTGAAAATACAGGAGTTGTTCCACCATTTTCTTAACTAATGTGTTATAAACAAGCCACCAGGCCATCGATAATCAAAAGCCCAAATCCTAGTATATCTGGCAACACACATTACATGGAATATTTAATACCTTTCAGTGTGAACCCCTCAACACAAACACATAACTTGTCTCAGAAAAGGCATGTTTCATAGACAGAAACATGTTACTAAATTGTATATCCATAACTTGCAATGGCCTTAAGCAGCAGATGGGAAGCTTCAGATTGCTGTGCCCTGGTCTACATCCCTCCATTTCCAGGCAAAAGGGCCACTCCTGGGACCCCTCATGAGGCCCCTCCAGCCCTGCCCAGCTGGACTGTGTGTGGGGCGGGGGGAGTAAGGAGGCGGAGAGGCTCTGCAGTCCCATCAGCAAGGGAAGGGCCAGCAGGACTGAGGGACCTGGGCTCTGCCCGGAACCACTAGCCCTGGCCTCCCAGCCTCGGGGAGAGGGGGACCGGAACAGCAGGAGCATTCACCTGCTGCTTCTGACAAGCTGAGATGAGGCTGGGGGCCCTTAAAGCTCCCTCCTCCAAATCTAGGTCTTTAGCCCTCTATACTGCAGTCGGTGCCAAAGACAGCAACTTCTAAGAAAAAGGGAAATGAACCCAGGACTCACAGATGGTCGCCCTCCTCTCTCCGCAGAGGCCACACTGCCCTTGACCCTCCTTTCAAGTCCCAAGAGTGGAGGCCACCACTGCAGACGTGTCCAGAGGTGGGGGTGTGCACTGTGAAGGATATGGATAGAAAACACAACTGAGCCACTAAACATTCCTTGATCCCAGAAACTGAGCCTTGGGGAGAAGCCTGCTTGTGGGTCTTGAAACTGTCCTGGATCACATGACGAGGTAGACCATTTTCTTCCCATTAATGTTTCTGGTCTTCAGCCCCAGGTAGCGGCGGCTGTTCTTCTCTGGATGCCCGTACACCATGTTGATGAAGAACTTGGGTTCGTCTTCCGCCCTGGGTTTGAAGCACAGGCAGCAAAAAGCAGATCTTAGCCGGCGACACAGGTAAGTCATGGCTTCCGCCTCTTCTGAGGGCTCCTCATATACAGGTTGCTTCATTTCCTTGTAGGCAGACAAAATCACTGCACAAAATAAGTTGATCAATATGCAGATCATCACCAGCATGAAAGATGAGAGGAAGAGGATCCCGAGAACCCGGTTATTGAAAAATTCTGTGTTCTGAAAAGCTGAGACACAGTAGGAAACTACTGTCTGGGTGGCATGGATCATGTCACTGTAGTTCCACTCGTCCTGCCCGAACACCAAGTAGCCGAATGCCATGAAGACAAAGAAATACACAGACAGCACCCATGCCATGTGGCAGATGCCGGGAAGGGCAGTCTGGATGGCCCTCTGAGCCAGACGCACATTGTAAAAGACCCTGAAATACCGGAGCGTCTTCAGGATCGTCAGAAATACCAGGAAACCCAAAATCACCTTCATGGTGTGATCCACTTGAGCCACTGCATGAAAGGGAATGAAATCCTCGGGATTTGACAAGTAAGCCCGAACTACACCGATGGCCAAGAAGTGCTTCCTGAAAAAGAGCACGATCAACAAGGCAAGGAAGAATTTAAGAGCAAAGCTGAGCCAATTATATACACTTTTCACGTAGGCAGTCCATTCATCCGTGATGACATTGACCTCATCAGCAATATAGGCGAGAAAGAAAAGGTAGATGGCCACATACAAGTAGATTTCTTCTGAGTATTTTCTGTTGAAATGAGTGAGCGAGAAGGAGTGAGCATTCAGGCTAGTGTTCACAACACCTAACTGAGAGACCTCAAAGATGACCGAGATGCTACAGAGGAGACTGATGTCTGGATTGAAGGTGGTCAGTTCCACAATCACAGACCAGGTCTTCTCATCCAGCCAATGGCTTTTCTGGAGTTCGCTGAGCCTCAGTGTGGAATTAAACTGCTGCTCTGCTGGAAAAAAGTAGAAGGCGTACCCTCCTGAGCCATAGGTATGCAGCAGCCCATAGGAAGAGTACGCCCATCTCTTCTCTGGAGGCTTATAAGTAAACCCTTTGGTCGTCTTGTCAGTGTCCCGCTTACTAACTTTATTCCACGACCCAGGGTAGTTTTTTGTGTCTTCTGGGTCCATCCCATATTCGGGGTGACAGCGAATCTCTCCTTTGAGGCTGCCCTCCACAAATTTCTTGGCCGGCAGACACGTTATCTCTCCAGGTTGTGCCCTCACCTGCCTCATCAGCGGCAGGCCAAGGATTTTAGAGGAGCTGTCAGGGAGAAACGTGGGATTTGGGTCATTGTGGAGCAGAGGCAACAGCACCCTGTTCAGCCACTGATAGATGTCTTCCAGCCTGGTCACTCCTGCCAGATCCACAGAGAACTGGTCACGAATAAACTGATTGTAGTAAAAGCTGTCAGTGGGGCGTAGGATTGTCACTAGGCTCAGCAAGAGAGCCAGAAAGATGAAGTGAGTGAGGATGTAAATAAGGAACAGGAAAGCTCTTCTCTTGATCCTCTTCTTTCTTTTGAATATTGTGATTTCATCTTGGGTGAGAGGTTGGTACATCCTTGAGTTTTGGAGCTCCATGACGAACTGGTGGCGTCTGTCCATTTCTTCCGGGTCCTTCCAGAGGTTTTGCAGCTTGATCTCAGTGAAGTGATAGTTGCTGATCCATGAAAGGTTCTTCGAATACTTGGCTGTACTTATCCTGTAGCTTGACGTAAGCATGATTTTAAATGGCTGCACTAGAAAGACTGACAAGGTGAATGCACAGAACGATGCAAACAGCCATGCCATTGACTTTTCGAGGCCGTAAGTCAGTCCATAAAATATGATGAAGTAGGAGGATACTGCACAGGTGAGAAAAACTAAGAGCCAGGCCACACTAACGCAGCACCGTGGCAGGACTATCCTGGGCTTCTCTTTGAGGGCTTGTGAACCTGGCTGGGGAGGCAGATCCTCAGAAGAAATGCTTTGATTGTCTAAAACATTTGGGTTATTGGTGTTTTTATTCTTCTCCTGGGCCCTAGAGATCTTTCTTTGGGCACCAGAGGCTTTTCCTGGGGTGTCGGCGACGTTTCTTGGGGTGCCGGAGACCTTTCTTTGTGTCCTGGACACATCTTTTTGGGGCCTGGAGACCTTGCTTTGGGTGCCTGATATCTTCCTTGGGGTGCCAAAGACCTTGCTTTCTGCTTGCTTGGGCGGGAGCTGTCCTTTAGAGGTGACCTCAACAGAAGACTTGGGTTTTGCAGGATGACTATTAGACATCTCAGGCTCCTGGGAGCGTGTCTTGTTAATTTCGTATGCATGCCACTTTCCCAGCCGTTCTTCCCAATGTTCATTTGCATCCGGCTTCAAAGGATGATTCCGAGGAGTGACCTCATTTAGAGATACAAGAGGTCTCCTCTGGGAATAGATGAACAAAGATGTGATCACTAGTTGCACAGGGAGGGTAATAAAGGCACTTTCCAATCCGATCACCATCGACCTGATGTACCTCTGCTGCTGTGGCTCTGGTTCGATCTCCTTGTCTAGATGAAAGAACATGATATTACACAGAAGTGTGGACAACAACATGGCTAAGCAACAGGACAGCCTCTGGAGCCTATTGAACGGGGCAGAAATGACACCAGAAAAAACAGAGAACCACAAGTGGTTTTTCCCCAGGTTATAATTTAAATCTATGAGGAAAAAGTCCATTTTCTCCAGAGGCTTATCTGGGGGGGTTACGTGAAAGGTTCGGTCCAGAGAGGTGTCAATAGAAAGCCATTCTCGGCACATGAAGAGCCAGATGTGCCGGCTGAACAGATTCTCCACTTTGATTCTACTTAAATACCATTCAGGGGACCTGCCCTCGTTGTTATGCCACACACGGAGGGAATGGATGTCCCCCAAGTCCTTTTTCGTCGCTAGGAGGAAAGTGCAGATGCTTCCTCGGTAGAGAGTTGTAAATTGTGGGTGGCTTAAACAGTGCACATCACTGCTGCCTTCGGTTCCATGCAGTTGGATAAAGACATTGGCCCTGGTCCCAGAACCACAACGGCTTCCTGTAAAAACAGTGACTAGGTAACACACATTATCATAAGGATCATTGTCAAGCAGAACTATCACATGGTTCCTAAGATACTGGTCCGTTTCATCTCTGTGCAAGGCCCAGAAGGCAAGGACCAAGTACAACAGCAAAAGGAGAAGTATAGTGAAGAGGGTCACAGGGTTTTGGGTGATGTTCTTGATGACCTCCAGGTGTAAATCCACAGGGTTAGGGACCACGATCACCTTGGCCGTCAAATAGTGGGTACGCAGGTGAAGGTTGGCCTGTTTGATGATATCCAGCTGCCGTCTGGCCCGCCGTGGGTTCTTGCAGATACAGTGCACTCTTTGCCAAGTGGTCTTCTCCCCAACAATGCAGGTATCTTCTCTCCAATCACTCTGGATCCCAAACATATTCAAGCATGTAATGCTGAAAACAGAAATTCTCACCAACTTCTTATTGGGTTTCAGGACGAAACGAGGTGCCTGTAGAAGCACAGTGACGGTGCACTCGGAGGAATCGGTTCGCTGAGCTATGACCTGCAGCAGGGCCGCGGGGA